GGGAAAGGCTGGCTCCGTCTAGGAATCTACGTACCTAGGTAAACTGGACAACCTTCGGGAGGCCTCGGAGATCTCTTTGAGCGCCGCCGACAGCGGTGAACGCGCGTGTCCGTCAGTTCCGCTGCTCCCCCCCGACGCCCCGAGTCTACGAGTCACCCGACAAAAGGGCCGGGAACGCATGAATATTCATATGTCAATTCTCTCTGGTATCGGAGAGTTCGATTTTTTAACGAGCAACCGAACCCGTTAAAAGAGACGGCTGTGCAACAAACGCTGGCCGGAGGACGCGCGGAATGCACGTCGCTCGGTATTAACATTTATCGCCGGCACCTCGGACCTTGTCGTCCTCGTCGTCGTCGTCGCGCCGTCGTCCGGAACGTGTATGCAAAATTTTATGTAGCGATCGAAACTGAAATAATAATAATCTTCGGCGGCGGCGATATCGTGTGATCGAGTCTTTTCCCGTGAAACCCGTATGTGCAATCAAGTTCAATGAAATTCTCGATGCGATAAAGCAATTAGGAAGATTCGGACGATAAGTCGCAAGGGGTCGAGATATTTCCTTAATGGAAACTGACACGCTAATTAAACGTCTTCGCGAGTGGCTTATTTGGTGTGAAATTCTCCGCTATTTTTGTCGACTGTTATGAGGCTTGCAAGCGAGTTTCTCGGATAGTTGGTCATATTTCTCCTCTTCATGGCTTTATAATTGTTTTCCTAGCATATCTCTTTATTTATATTATTTTTTCTAAATTTCTTGTTTTAATTAAACAGTACATGACCCGCGCTGTCACCTTCCAGATAATTAATTGCCTAATTTCGCGGCGGTCTGTAAAATGGTCGGTCTTTTTTGGAACCAACAGAATTCTCAGTAATCCAACGCCATTTTTCACGAGCCTCCTGATAGCAAAAGCGTCCTTGTCACGCTCCGACTCTCCTGCGCGTAGGAAAATCACCGACAGATTGCGTTTCCGCGAAGGAGACCGTAGTAGCCAAGTCGCGCCTGAGAGAAACGCTTTGCATCTCGTTTCACGTTGTTTCACTTCATTTCACCGAAACATTCGCCGTTTCCGTTCGTTGTGAGGAAAAGCCGCTCGGTCGTTGGAGCATCCGCAGGCGGCGCGTCTCCCTTTGCACTACCCGCCCCTCCGTCTCTCCCCTTCAAAGCCTTCATCGTCGGTTCTTACTTTGCTTGCAGGCGGTGAGCGCTGGTGCCAGGCTCGCCATCGAGGAGTGTCAGCACCAGTTTAGATCGGCGAGATGGAACTGTTCCGTCAGCCCGGAAAATCCCGAGAACGTGTTTGGCGGCGTTACGTTAGTCAGTAAGTGCTCTCTCTCTCTCTCTCTCTCTCTCTTTCTCTTTCTCCCCTCCTTCTCTCTCTCTCTTTTCGCGGTTCGACGCGTTTAACACGGCCGCGTCATGTCGCGTTTCGAATGTGTTTTACTCCTCTCTGGAGTTTTCTCAGCTCTCTCGAGAAGAGAGAGAGAGAGAGAGAGAGAGGGAGAGAGAGAGAGAGAGAGAGAGAGAGAGAGAGAGAGAGAGAAAGTACGCGTGTGGTGTATTTAGCGCGCGCTTGTTGGACACATTCGCACTCTACTTCTCCACGCTGAACACGGCGCGGCAGCCGAGTGAGTGCGCCGAACCAAGTGGCCACCTCGCGACTCGCCGACACTGATAAAAACGTGCGTTTCGCAGATAGCCGAGAGGCCGCGTTCATTTATGCCATATCAGCAGCCGGAGTCGCTTACAGCGTCACAAGGGCCTGCTCCAGAGGCGAGCTCACCGACTGCTCCTGCGACAATCGAGTGCGAACGCGACGTCCGAACAATTGGCAGTGGGGAGGATGCAGCGAAGTGAGTGAGAAGCTTTTCCCGCCTAGCCTCTTCCTTCGTTAACGCCGGCTTTTCTCCGTGCGGCGGCGACCGATGCGTCGTGCGCGATCGAGGGGTTTTTAAACTCCTGCCGATCAATCTTCGGCCGACATCTCCTTCACCTGGCTGTCTTCCGCCGGCGGGTCGTCTGACGACGGAAATTTTAATACCAGCCAGAAGACAAAGCTCGGGCAGTAAACGGATGCGTTTCATGCGAACGGCTGACCCCTTGTAGACATTGCCGGCTTACAAGGGGATTAAGGGAGCTAAGCTTGTTAAGTTGCAACAACCCGCCGTTGCCGCCGTTGCCCGCTCCCTCGCTCGCTCGTTCGCTCGTTCGCTCGTTCGCTCGCTCCCGCCTGCAATCCGGACGCACGTAACTTACTCGAGCACGAGAAACAACGAGGAGTTGGCACGCATATATGCACGCGTACGTGTGTGTACGTGTACACGTAGTCGCGCGAGCGCGAGCGCGAGCGCGTGACACGTGCAGAAGAGGTAGAGTCGTTACACACGCTCGCGCGACCACCCGGAGGAGTATCGACGAAATCGCAACGGGGACGCGTCTTATTTTTGCGTATCGGAGCGACGCTCGTTTTCGACGTACGTGAGTCCGACGGAGGCGCCCCGACGCGATTACCGATTTCTCGCCGATTTTCCACGAGATGCCTGAGCGCGCGACGATTAACGCTTTCCTTCGAGGCGTATTTTTTCACGCCCAATCACGGCGAGTCGTTTCGTCGCGGAACCTCTTTCAGAGAAAAAGAGAAACCTTGCTCTATTATTATTCCTTAAAATTAATCTTATTATTTGGCTGTTTTCGATCATTATCTTTCTAAGAATTTTTGCTTTGTTTTAAGTAATTTTTCTTATTTCTTCTAGGTAAGTTTTATCATTTGTTATATTTTAAATAATTCTCTTTACCGTTCGGCTTTTCCCGCATTTATTGTTTCTTTTCCGCGATTTTCATGTCTATTTCATTCCGGGCGGATTTCAACACGGTAATCGCAGGGTACGAAATGTGGAAGCGCGAGGTCAAATGTATCTTAATGAGGGTGATCTCGTTGGAGAAGTGTCCCAGTGACAGATTTCGGCGGTAATGATGTTTGCCCGCTGTTGGCGTGTCTTAGAGGCAACCGACAACAGCGAGGGTTCGCTTTAACTGGACTGAGGCAGCGAGCTGTCATCGATAAGTCGACGTGCGTGATGCCGCTCGAGAAGAAGAGGGTGAGAGAGGGAAGGAGAGAGAAAGAGAGAGAGAGAGAGAGAGAGAGAGGGAGGGAGAGAGAGAGAGAGAGAGAGAGCGAGAGAGCGAGAGAGCGAGAGTGGCGATGCTCACGGCGAGGATTACGTTTAGACAGCATCTGACAGCGAAAGCAAAGAGGGCACGGTATAGTCTTCTGCCGTCTTACCGACGTGCGTCAGGAGATATTCGGAAGCGACAAAGACATACAGAAATAATAGCCATTGTATCGTTTTGGTGTTGAATCCAATTTTCCGATAAAATCACCCCTATAATGAAAGCAACGTGAATTCAACATTGTACATCATGTGAAAATTGCATGAAAATTGTAACATGAGAAATAGTAACATAATATGATACGTGATATGATGATAATGAAATATATGATATGATACGTGTATATAATCGTATAATATGAGAAGAGTAATATATATGAAACACGTAAAAATATTATACAAATATATAAATATCAGATCAGTAAAAAAGTTTGTCGCATTCGTCAAATAAAAATAATGAACGAAATCATTTGTTAACTGACTGAATTTTTACGGAGGAAATATGAAAAATTAAAATAACAGACATATCGCCTCGGTATTGTTTTTCTTTTCCCAAAAATTTAACAAATCTTCCTTTCGATGCTGAATGTGATCACTTTGTACCCAGGCAGAATTCGACAGCAAAAAGTCGAAACAGCAAATTATTCTCGCAGCAATTTTATATGTTTAAAATCACTCGGAATTGCATTTGACATTTATTCGAGATATCCGTAACGTTCTCGTTTTCGGCAACTCGCACCACATCCGGCCGCGCGTAGCCAAACTCGTAGCGCTCATTCGTAACTGCGCGCGTAAAGCTGTCTCTGGCGGAGTTTCACAGCCAGGAGGGACGGTCCTTAAGCAGCCACGTCCTACGCGAAATCCTCGGCGAGCTTAGGATCTATTCGCTTAATCTCTGCGGCCATTGTCGGCTGCTCGTGCGGGGCCGCGAAACGGAAGAGACATACAGCGGACATTTCGTTTTCTAAAGGACCTTTTAATCTTCCGGACGCTCTCGTTAAAGTCTCGTTAAGGTCTTTCCTTTCTCCTGGAACACCTCGTGTTGTACCTGGGATGTAATATAAGTAACTAGATTTGCTTGCCGCACGCAGGACATACACTTCGGGGAGAAGTTCTCGCGGGAATGGTCCGACGGCGGCGAGGAGCCGGTGAAGGAAGGCGTTCTGCACGGATCGAAAGGACTGGCTGGCCAACTGATGAGGAAACACGATAGCGAGGCCGGCAGACGGGCCATTCGTTCTAGGATGCAACGTGTGTGCAAGTGTCACGGTGAGCGACGATATTATTGGTCCTTCGTCGTTTCGGCGAGTTCTCAGGATTGATTGTTTCCTCTGACGTGAAGCCGTGAAGAAAAGGAAATCCTCCAACTTGAAGAAATTAATAAAAGAATAATATCGCTGTGTTTCCCACTTCCTGCAAAATCGAGTCGAGCACACTTGAGGAAAAGATTCATGATCGATCATTTGATTTTTATCGCGAAGTCCGAAATTCTTCAGAAAATTTAATAGTTATATAATAGTAATATAATAAAAATAGTTACGTTATATAATCATACATCATACATTATTATATGTATATCATACATTTTTTTTATTTTTATTTCTTTTATTTTCTATTTTATTTTATTTTATTTTATTTTTTATATATTTTAAAAATATATGTTAATTATTATATTAAGTGTAATTCGTATGTGTCAAATACTACAAGAAACAAACCGATAAATAAAACACGAGAGCTTTTAATTTTCCATGCAGTGTCAAAAGTAGATTCGTTTCGCCGAGAATCGGTCAAGTTAGCCGCAGGGACCCTCAACCAAATGAAAACTAACAACCGGTCGAAGAAAATTCAGCGGACACACACGACCCAATTGTTCATCCCGCGCTTCTCTTCTTCCTCGACAGGCATGTCCGGCTCGTGCAGCGTACGCGTGTGCTGGAGAAGACTGCCGACGTTCAGGGTGGCCGGAGTCGCTTTGGCGGCGTTGCACGAAGGCGCCGCCTTGATGCGGCTGGCGCAGCGTGGCGGGAGGAGACCGGCGAGGCTCAGACCGGCGCGACCCGATCTCAAACGGCCGAACAAGACGGACCTGGTTTACCTCGAGGACAGTCCCGATTACTGCGAAAGGAACGTCACGTGAGTGCGCGCACGACTCGCCCGATTCCTCGTCCCACGCTATTAAATTACTCCGTCACGTTTACTTTTATCAGCCGCCGGCGCGCCAGGCGGTTCCTCTGCTCAAGGTCCAGTCACTCACGTGTGCCTTCGAGCGATGAAGCGACGACGCGCGATTCATTGGAAAATCCTCGGATAAAGTCGTTGAGATCATCGCGCAAGATCGCGAGAGGTGGAGGACGAGGACGAGGATGCTCCTTGCCGCGCTTGTGTCTTGTTTTATCTTTCCCCCTCTCTCTCTCTCTCTCTCTCTCTCTTTCTCCCTCACGGACGATCAGTCTCGCTGATTATCAATCAATTGACAACGATTCTCCTTCTTCCCCCAGGCTCGGCATTCCCGGTACGCGAGGCAGAGTGTGCAACAAGACGTCCCCCGGCTTAGACGGATGCCGGCTGCTGTGTTGTGGCCGCGGCTATCAGACGCGAGTGCAGAACGTCACTGAGAAATGCAAGTGTCGATTTGTCTGGTGCTGTCATGTCAAGTGCGACATGTGCCGGCACACGCGCGAGGAGTACTTTTGTAACTAGATGTTAGCTGAAATGAGATTGTATCCCGCTCTACCGCGGCCTATCTCCTAGGAGAACACACACACACACACAAACACACACACACACACACACACACACACACACACACACACACATGTACACACAACATACACGTACACATCACACGCATACATGCCCAGCAAACACAATATTACATGTAACGTGCATGTTAGTTGTAATTTCCTACTCAACAGTATAACTGTTATATAACAGTTATATTGTTGAGTAGGAAATTACAACTAACATGTACGTTACATGTAATATTGTGTTTGCTGGGTGTATACATAAATTCGCGCGAGAGCATGCATCTCCGGTGTTCACCGTAAGCTTGAGCTCTCGCGCTTGTCGCCATTTTTACGTTGTACCGTTATTATCGCGTATTTTATCGTCAATCAGCCGATAGCCGCGAGAGGCTAACACGTTATGTTACGTCGATGCGCTTCTCCCCGCCTGACAGTCCACCGGGTTCGCTCGGCAATTCGGATTAGCGGTCGTGTAGCTGTTTCCCGCAGTGGGAAATGAGGAGCTTCGTGCGAGCTCGATGATTTCGGCGATCGTGTGATTCCCGGGGCTGTGGAAATGCGGAAGTTTTTAGGCTAAACTTCTCGTTTGTCGCATTTGTAGTGTCATCCTGCGCTGCATAACGCTGTATTCGATCGGACTTGATCGCAACGACCGAGGTACTCAGTATTACTGCCATCGTAGGTGATATATAAGGTGGTCCACTTTCACCTCGTGCGTCCATCGCCATAACTACGTGCACGTCCGAGCCTCCACATCCGCTTCCTCTCCACGTGGAAGTTGACGTTAAGGACGACGCGTGTCCGTGAGGTTGTCGTTGCGTGGCTTATCGGTCTGGCCCGACTGTCAGGCGTGCGCATATGTGTGTGTGTGTGTGTGTGTGTGTGTGTGTGTGTGTGTGTGTGTGTGTGTGTGTGTGTGTGTGTGTGTGTGTGTGTGTGTGTGTGTGTGTGTGTGTGTGTGTGTGTGTGTGAGTGTGTGTATGTGTCAGTGCTGTGCGGCACTTCACTTTTGCGTGAACGTTAATGCATCGCGCGAGTCAGTGTGTTACTTTAATTTACATTTAATCACTTCATCTCCACCCGGATACATACGCCGCAGACGAGAGAGATTGATATTCCAAGGATGCATTAATACACATGCCACGCGCATATGCTCGCTTTTGCATCATCGGACCTGCGCGCGATCCGATCACTTTGAGTCCTGAGCGAAGCGAGCTGCGCGAACGGCACGGGATCAAGCTTTTTATCTTCTGACTATTATATATATATACATATATACATATACATATATATTTATTTATTTTATACGCCTGCGCATATATAATTATGTATAATTGAATATATATATATATATATATATATATATATACAATTATATATATACATATATGATTATACATATTTGATATGTATAATCATATATATAACTTATAATATATATATATATATAATATATATTAATATATATATAAAATAATGTATAAGTTATACATTATATATATATATAACTATATGTATAATGTATGAATATGCGTATTATCAATATTAGTATGTGTAATATATGTTGATATTACACGTATTAATATGCATAATATGTATAATTATATATAATTAAGTAAATATAAATTGAATACACATATATTTAACGCGTACCGGTTAGGCGTACGCGCATGAAACGCGCGCGTTCTCTTTAGAGAGAATGACAAAGTAAAGATTCGCGCGTCTGACTTTTACCTAGAGATCTTCACTCGTGACGTATTTAAATATCTCGCAACGCTCGACATCGCGCCCTCGTGTGCCAATTTGTTATTTCTACGTACAGCAGGGAGGAAGAGAAAATGTATGTATGCATGTGTGTGTGTGTGTGAAAGAGAGAAAGTACATAGAAGAACGTAAATGCGACGATTACTTTTTCGACAAGATTCTTTCTCTGACAAATTTACGTACAACGCGCCGCAATTGTCTCGCGTATATCAAGGTGAAGATTACTCTCGCACGTTGATTAGAAATGTTTCACCGTATATACCAATGTTCTCAAAGCGCATACGTTCTTCTTTTTGCCTATAGTACACGGAGCAAACCGCGAGAACGCGCGAACAATGCGAGTTATGAGGAAAACGATAAAGAGGGAAGGGCCGAGGGGGAAGCGGTCACGAAGCACGAATCCGCCTCGCGAGTTGTCGCGCGCCTCGACTCGCACGAATCGGGAACAATTCTGCCAATGAACGATGTATATAGTGTCTCACCGTTTTTCTAGACTCTACGCCACGATCGTCGTTGTATATATATGCATATGTACGAGAACTTGATTCGTCTACGTTTAGGGGAGAGAGAAAGAGTGAGTGTGTGAGCGAGAAAAGAAAGAAGTTATTTCCCTGTGTTCTCCACGGCTCACGCAAATACTCGTGCTCTCGCGATTTTATCTCACTGTCACTTCATAGTATACATAATATATATATATATATATATATATATTATATATATATAGTATATAGACATATAGAAACACATGTATATGCTGCGTATATGCGCATGTGTGTATGTATGCAATACGGCCCGGGGAAAAAAAAGAAGACGTTCTAGTCATTTGCGAATTCTCTTGATTCATATCAGTCGACACTCTACCTGGATGCTTTAATCATAAATGTTGCGCGTGTCGGAAGACGTAACATACACATCATTCTTTTATACTTGGAGATATATCGAGCGTTACACTCAACAGAATAATCTCCCGAGCAGTTTGTGGAAGAATAAATTCGAGAATGTGTCAAGCGGTTGTTAAACTTTGCAAATCCGTGACACATTAAACTTTTAAAGGGAATAAATAAGTTCAAGTTCGCATTTTACACAACGTGCACGCATATTTACATATGTCTTTGATTACGTATATATTTTTATATGCGTACTCAGTAATGGACATAAAACACACACGCGCACGCACGTATACACGCAACACACGGGTGGGATTTATCACTAAATTTCTACACGCAATGTATACGTATAACATATATATTTTACCAAAATTTCCAATTATAACGGATGACACTTATTCGACGAATTCGATGACAGCGGGATAATCTCTCATTATACAAACGGAATCATCGTCGACACTTCGCGAGGTTGCGCAATATTTATAACGGCTTACTCGTTTAGAATACGGCCTTAAGGTGTAACAGATATCGCGATTCGTCCGTATATCGTTAAGGATTCTAGCGATAAACTTAATAATGCGAGCCCGACGTCAGCCAGCCAGCAAACAAGCACGCACGCACGCACGCACGCACGCACGTACGCAAGCACGCAAGCAAGCGAGCAAGCAAGCAAGCGAGCACGCAAGCAAGCGAGCAAGCGAGCGAGCGAGCGAGCAAACAAGCAAGCAAGCAAGCAAGCAAGCAAGCAAGCAAGCAAGCAAGCAAGCAAGCAAGCAAGCAAGCAAGCACGCACGCACGCACGCACGCACGCACGCACGCACGCACGCACCTACATATGCCCGCACGTATGCTCGTTCCCTCGCGTCACGATGACGACATACAGAACTCAGTATTGACAAACTGTAATTTATTTTCTTCACGATAATACATTATATTATACTCTCGTAGTTCTTTTCCAGTCGACTTATGGTCAAATCGTAATAATAATAATAATAATAATAATAGTAATAATTCATTCTCGTAATAATAATATAATAAGTAATTCTGGTAATAATAATATAAAATAATCTCTTCGCTAGCTACGAGACGAAGCCTAGCTCATAACACTTGTATATTCGTATGTACCTGTATTCTACGTGCATTTATATATAAATACATATGCAGAAATGTGCGTACATAAACACAGATAAATACAAATGTATATGACGAGTCATGTCCTTCGATATGGCCGTATAGTATCGTTTTCTCATAGCGCGTGCTGTCTCCTTAATCTTCCCTCCTGGTGATACTCATCGATGATACGTGGCGCTACCATACAGAAGATCGTTATGATGGATCCGAAAAATGCACCGATCAGCATCCCGTTGATTAGCTTACGGTCCTCAACGAAGAGCTTGCCCTCGCTCGTAGGTCTTAGGAGATTCTCACTACCGCTGTCTTTGGTTCTGGCGATGTAGCCAAGCCAGTAGATAAGCCGGTCCGAGGCTGGATTCAGTCTGTCGCGTAGCGCCAGCGAGACCTTACGCGCGTTCTCGCGATAATTGATCGTCTCGTGGATCATCTGCACAGTGAACTTGGCGAGGTCGTCGGCGCTCACGTAGGTCATGACGGTGCGTGCGAAGCCCAGTTCGACCGCGCGCTCGCTGTTGAGGAACTCTTTATAGTCTCGCGGCAAGCATATCATCGGAGAGCCGTGAAACGCAGCTTCCAGGAACTCCGTATCGCTACAGTGACTCAACACGACACGGGTTCGACTGTAACCTGTATTACAATAGAGTGTCGACGGTTATTAAAAGGGGGAGAAAGAGAGAGAGAGAGAGAGAGGGAATACAAGAGCTGTGTGCTATGGTGCGTCATGTTATTATTCTCCTTCGTGCGCTTATTGAATTCAACGGTGCCAGAGAACTCGCATTCGCGACGCACGTATTCCCCGCTGTGTGCGACTTGAGCGGAGACGTCTGGATTCGATACGTTTCCCTTTTATTTCCACCGTATACCGAACGCGTTATTCGAGTTCTCATGCGATAACAATGTCTTTCTGTGCGAGAAAGGGATTTGGAGGCACGTTTCTTAGCAGAATTTACGTCGATAATAATAGATGATACTGATGTGCACGTGTTATGCTTTGTAATTTGCAGCTTTACTATAGAGTACAACTACAGACAGGGAGAGAAGAGAGAGAGAGAGCTACTATATTAAGGGAAGTAACTTTATAATATTATATATATTATAAATTGACTTCATAGTATTATAAATATTTAAAGCATATACTTTAGTGCATTGCATAGTATATATTATAATCGTATACGTAAACTATGCTGCTAATTATATAAAGTGATAAAAATAACAAGACTGAAAATTTAATTTTACCTATGAGGTCCTGCCGGTCGATGTCGGTGTGAACAAAAAGATTTTCCTTATCAGGCAACACGATTTTATCATTTTTGTTAATTAGCCACACGACGGCTTGGCCTTCTCTACCTTTAGGCAATTTCTTCGCCAATTCCGTCACTAACGTCTTATATTCATTGTCTAAGAGGACAACGATAGTACCCTGTTTATATGTTATCAGTGACTTCTGTAAGTCGCTTGGTAAAGGATGCACTCCTCTACAGTGATGGCAGCCGACCTGGAAACGGTTTCAAAACAATTTTAAACAGCCGATCATGTAAAATATCATGTCGAGTGACGAACTGTCATATTTGGAAGAGAACGAAGGATAATTCAAGTGCGTTTGTTTGACGAACCTCCACAAATAATTGCGTCAATGGTACGAAATTGGAACGTAAGACTGTATCACCTCCCCAGAGCACTAGGCGAACGTCGGAATAGAGATCTTTTATGTCAACATTGACATCCGGTAGATATTTGGTTACCAAGCTCGAAACGTGAAACAAATAATCGCTATTCGATGTTTCTAAATCAGGTAATAAATTGTTTATGCGATCTAAAAATCCATTGTTATGCATCGGTAGTGCGACTCCAGTGTTTTCAAATGTGTATCGTTCTTCTTTCAAATTTCCTACCCAGATTACTGGAATAGATTGAATATGTCGCACCCATGGAAGTAAGCAACCATCGTGCCTAAAAATATCAAGAAGAAAAGAAACTAATAATATTTTCTCAAATACATATTTCAGTTTGTTTCAGTCCATGAAATATGGAGATGTAATATTACAAATATATACTATGTCAATCTTCTTTTATAAAATTAATGTTTATTTAAAATTAATATTTAAGATAAATTTAAGATTATGTATTTTATTTATTATCTTGTTTGAGATTATAATATAGAAAATAACCTTTTTTTATTCAAAATACTTAATTTTTAATATAATTTACAAATATCTTACATATATCTATAATATTATATTAATATTCTATTTATTAATATAAATACACATGACAAATAACAATAGTTTCTAGAGAAACAAATTAATAAAGCACTTGAAATTCAATATAAAAAGAATAATTAAATAAACCAATGCTAATGAAATAAATTTAATAAAAGAGGTTTGCATAGAATTACAACAAACTATAATATTTGACTGATATACCTTAATGCTGGAAATATAGTAAATGTGGGTTGCAATTCTTTTACTCTTTCCAATATTTCTTGGTCCCTCAATAGAGCATCGCATGCCTCTATCATATATATATTTTTGTTATTTTTTGATACAGAGGTATGAACATCCAGTTGTAGAACTTCAACATCAATCAGGTTATTATAAAGCTCATTAATTGCCTGATTTGGTATTATCAATGACGTATCTATTCCTTGATCCGAAAGAGTATTGGCAAGTAAAGATATATCATATATGTTTTCAAATGTCACTATTAGAGCGGATAAAGGTGGTGCTGTCAAGATAGAGCTTCTTGAGAGCCCAAATAAGTGAAAACACATGTATAAAGTGATTGGCACCAATATTATAACTTTATTCATTATTATATTTAACTTTAATTTCCCTTAAAATTTAATTTTCCTGCAATTTGTAAATTGTAAAGTATAAATGTATCTCTTTTTCTGTATATCTATCTTCTTTTTTTTCAATAGACTAAGATATAACAATTCAGCCTAACTTTGTCAATTGTTAAAATATTGTTTCTTGACCAAATATAGCATCATCACGCAAGTTCTGTTCAAATAAAGGTAATACAAGAATACAGATATTTAAGTTTGTAGATTCAATAAATGGAATCTGAAAGAAAAAAATGTAAACATTAATTATAGGGCAATATAATATCTAAAGAATATTATTAAGATATTCAAGAGATGATTCCAAATTCTCGGAGGAAAATCTTAAATAGATCTAAAATAAGAATTTTTTGATAGTATATTGGTGTTGCTCTCTCTCCTAAATGTAGAAAAAATAATTCACTTACTATTTTCTAAAATTCTTAATATCCAAGTAGATCCATAAACCCAACAATATAAATACATTTGTATACATTATTGGTTTATAATCGTTGTATAATTATTGTGGCCGTCGTGTGTGCTAGTGATATTTTAAAATTTGTCACTGTGATAATCTAAACATTTATCTCAGTGCTCTTCAAATGTATATACACATTCGTGCACCTACAACACATCATTCAAATCAAATCGGGTGGGGTTTAGAGATTTAACACTGGCCATAGCGTTTCACCGACTCCAACATTGACACGTAACGTCCGCATCATCATTGTGCTGCGCGTAGGAATACTGGCGTTGACACAGAACAGTCGTAAGATGTCACGTACATCTTGAATTGCGCGTAGCATCCACGTTAAGGTGCCAATACATGGGAGCGTCGAGCGTCCAGCGTCAAAGCGTCCAACCAATCAAAGTTCTTAGTTACAATAGCGCCCTGACTTTGTTAATTTGATGATTTTGAAATTTCGAAAGATCGATAAATTAACAAAAAATAGAGCATTATTGTACCAATATATTCTTGAGATCAAATAGAATAGAAAATTCTAGTATCGTTTTTTTATCCCGACAAACAGTTGGCGAGATTTCGTAAGTTAAATATTGAAAAAGTTATCAATTTATCCTTAAATATCTCAAAAAATATTAGGCAAATAGAAAAATATTTCAGACAAAAGTTGTTCAAATTAATTGGTGGAAAAAGATGGTGTAATAAAAAATTGGAATTTCTATTTAAGATTTTTATGTCGACCTTCATAACGTTTCTTAAGGTCAAACCAAGGTCATTCCAAAGTCAAACAATTATCAACATCTGATAGCTTTTTTTAAACCCTACAACTTTTGTTTCAAACATTGTTTTAAACAATCATTATTTTTTTGAAATAATTATAGTCATTCCGGAACTTTTGGCAGACCCTGTATATAAAGCCAAGGTAACACGAAGGTAACTTTTCAGTATTCTTTTACGTTGATTTTATTAAATATTAAGATCATAAGGATTCATTAAGTTGTATTAATTATTTATCAAGTATTATTTATTATTTTTTAAAATTTCTTTCATCTACAATATCATTCGAAAATGCACACAAGAATGTGGGAAACAGATCAAGCACCGATTAATATGGCTCTTTACCGTATACATTTGTAAACATGAATAAATAAATACACATATATATTCGGCCTGTTTTCAATATTCGGCCTCTTTTGACACTTTCCGATACTTTTTACGAGCTGTTTCATATCTGTCACCATCTATGCGTGTTCGAGCTATGTTTCATATTCCGGCCACGATATTTCTAATAGGGCGCTAGTGCACAGCAAGATTTCTCTGGTACGCTAAATTCCAGCAGTAAGACCAGCAGTCTTTATAGTATCTCGTCGGTGGTATATTGCAACTGCCTTCCCTTAAGGCCCCTTGCACAATGCCAGGCAACAAGCAATAAGAATAAAAATAGACCAATCACAATCGGCTATTACAAGAATAATCTATTGTGATTGGTCTATTTTAATTCTTATTGCCTGTTGCCTGGCATTGTGCAAGGAGCTTAAGTGAGAAGCTCGCACTTGTGCATAAAGGCATAATACACAACACATAAGAAAATGAACCAATCAGAGTCTTTAATTTCCAGCATGGCAATAGAAATAAAGATTCTAATTGGTTGATTTTTTTGCGCATTGTGTATTATGACCCATATTCAGAACACGCTTGTAACTATTAGCAGAGAGGGACGTGAGAGCGACCAACACGGTGTTTTCGACGACACCGACTTTCCGCACTGGGAAAGGACGTCATCTGCATCCATTTTGAGAGGGGAACTACGATGCTACATCCACTTTCAGGTTTCGGCGGTAAAACCTGTATGTGGTGGCAGTCCGTGCTACATCCATTTTTAGGCGGTTTATGTCCGTGCTACAACCATAATAGCGTGCTTGACAAGCACGGTCTCGCACATTGTTACGCGTTTATAACATGAATTAACATGTTAACATGTGCAAAAAGAAAAAGAATTGACATTGTGTATGATTAATATCATGAAGATCATACGAAGTGTCCGGTAATTAGCTGCCAACCCGAAATGTGAGAGTAGATTGGGTTCAGACAAACATAAAAGTCCCATACCATTTTGCGAGATTCGCAATAATTATCGAGTTATTAATGACAAAAATCTGAGGAGTAAAAGCGCGCCGACATAGATGATTCGAAAAGCATTGCAGTTGCTCAGGGCAGCGATCATGAATCTTTTCCCTAGCGTGAACTAATAAAAAGTGAAAGACTTCTGTGAATCAGTGAAAAATGAAAAATTTTATATGAATTTGTGAAAATCGAAACATTTCACACGACAATTGAGTCGTTCAACATGGCAGTTGCGCGTTCTGGATAATTCAATGAATACTAAAGAAATCAAATTGATCAAAATAATAATGTCCGTGTAGTCCGAAGGATATTACGTGACACGCAAAATCCGTTTGATATAATATCCAAAGAAAATGTTTCAAAATATGTATGTATAGGTAATATAAACCTTATGCACCGACGAGATATACTACAAAGACTGATGACCTTACGGGATTTAGCGTACCAGAGAAATTTCCCTGGTGAGGCACTCGGGTGAAAGAAGACCGTCTCGCATTTAGCGCAGTAAAATTTAATGGAAACTAATACTTTTCAATCCTTTTCTTCGGATCAAAAAGATTCAGAAATCAGACATATTGAAAATGTCAATACTTTTTAATACGTTTCAATTCGACATTTTATACAGAAAAGTAGGACGAAGGGAATGGGATGCGGGCAACGATACATCATGCGTCCCCAGACGTGTCAAATCGTTTATTATAGAGGAGACTTTGATACGGCAACATGTATTCGAATATTTAATCGTCCCATGGACCACTTATATATAATAAAAAAAAAAATTAACGCGGATAAATGAATGATTCGTATCAATTTTTCCTTTTCTTATAGAGCAATGAAAGAGTAAATCAGTATCGAAAATCGAATACCGATTAATACCATAAATCAGTGTCAGAAAATTGTCCAAGTGCAATGACAATTTGTTCTCATTTTTCAGGTACTTACCCCTCTAATCTCATTCAACAAATTAACTCGGATAAACGAATGATTCGTATAAATTTTTTTTGTCTTGTAAAACAATGAGAAAATAAATCAATACCGAAAATCAAAGACCGTTCAATATCTAATTTTTTCATCAAATTAACGCGGGTAAATGAACAATTTGAATCAATCTTTTTTTCTTTTATAGAGAAATCAAAGACTAAATCAGTATCGAAAACTGGATATTGATTAATACTATAAATCAGCGTTAGAAAATTGTCTAAGTGCAATGACAAGTTGTTTTCATCTTGCAGGTACTTACCCCACTAATTTACTCAACAAATTGAGTCGGATAAAAGAACGATTCGTATTCAATTTTTATTCTGTTATAAAGAAATTAAAGAATCAGTCAGTACCGAAAATTGAAGACCGATCAATATTTAATTTATTCATCAAATTAACGCGGATAAATGAACGTTTCGTATGAAATTTTTTTCTTAATGAGAAGTGAAAGAGTAAATCAGTACCAAAAATCGAATGTCGATTAATACCATAAATCAGTGTCAAAAAATTGTCCAAGTGCAATGACAATTTGTTCTCATTTTTCAGGTACTTACCCCTCTAATCTCATTCAACAAATTAACTCGGATAAACGAACGATTCGTATAAATTTTTTTTGTCTTGTAAAACAATGAGAAAATAAATCAATACCGAAAATCAAAGACCGTTCAATATCTAATTTTTTCATCAAATTAACGCGGATAAATGAACAATTTGTATCAATCTTTTTTTCTTTTATAGAGAAATCAAAGACTAAATCAGTATCGAAAACCGGATATTGATTAATACTATAAATCAGCGTTAGAAAATTGTCTAAGTGCAATGACAAGTTGTTTTCATCTTGCAGGTACTTACCCCACTAATTTACTCAACAAATTGAGTCGGATAAAAGAACGATTCGTATTCAATTTTTATTCTGTTATAAAGAAATTAAAGAATCAGTCAGTACCGAAAATTGAAGACCGATCAATATTTAATTTATTCATCAAATTAACGCGGATAAATGAACGTTTCGTATGAAATTTTTTTCTTAATGAGAAGTGAAAGAGTAAATCAGTACCAAAAATCGAATGTCGATTAATACCATAAATCAGTGTCAAAAAATTGTCCAAGTGCAATGACAATTTGTTCTCATTTTTCAGGTACTTACCCCTCTAATCTCATTCAACAAATTAACTCGGATAAACGAACGATTCGTATAAATTTTTTTTGTCTTGTAAAACAATGAGAAAATAAATCAATACCGAAAATCAAAGACCGTTCAATATCTAATTTTTTCATCAAATTAACGCGGATAAATGAACAATTTGTATCAATCTTTTTTTCTTTTATAGAGAAATCAAAGACTAAATCAGTATCGAAAACCGGATATTGATTAATACTATAAATCAGCGTTAGAAAATTGTCTAAGTGCAATGACAAGTTGTTTTCATCTTGCAGGTACTTACCCCACTAATTTACTCAACAAATTAAGTCGGATATAAGAACAATTCGTATTCAATTTTTATTGTGTTATAAAGAAATTAAAGAATCAGTCAGTACCGAAAATTGAAGACCGATCAATATTTAATTTTTTCATCAAATTAACGCGGATAAATGAACATTTCGTATGAATTTTTTTTTCTTATTGGGAAATGAAAGAGTAAATCAGTACCAAAAATCGAATGTCGATTAATACCATAAATCAGTGTCAAAAAATTGTCCAAGTGCAATGACAATTTGTTCTCATTTTTCAGGTACTTACCCCTCTAATCTCATTCAACAAATTAACTCGGATAAACGAACGATTCGTATAAATCTTTTTTGTCTTGTAAAACAATGAGAAAATAAATCAATACCGAAAATCAAAGACCGTTCAATATCTAATTTTTTCATCAAATTAATGCGGATAAATGAACAATTTGTATCAATCTTTTTTTCTTTTATAGAGAAATCAAAGACTAAATCAGTATCGAAAACCGGATATTGATTAATACTATAAATCAGCGTTAGAAAATTGTCTAAGTGCAATGACAAGTTGTTTTCATCTTGCAGGTACTTACCCCACTAATTTACTCAACAAATTAAGTCGGATATAAGAACGATTCGTATTCAATTTTTATTCTGTTATAAAGAAATTAAAGAATCAGTCAGTACCGAAAATTGAAGACCGATCAATATTTAATTTATTCATCAAATTAACGCGTATAAATGAACGCTTCGTATGAATTTTTTTTTCTTATAGAGAAATGGAACAGTAAATCAGTACCAAAAATCGAATGTCGATTAATACCATAAATCAGTGTCAAAAAATTGTCCAAGTGCAATGACAATTTGTTCTCATTTTTCAGGTACTTACCCCTCTAATCTTATTCAACAAATTAACTCGAATAAACGAATGATTCATATCAATTTTTCTTGTCTTATAAAAGAAAAGAGAGAATAAATCAGTACCGAAAATTGAAGACCGATCAATATTTAATTTATTCATCAAATTAACGCGGTTAAATGGACGAGTCGTATCAATTTTTTTTCTTGTAGAGGAATGAAAGAGTAAATCAGTACCGAAAATCGGATATCGATCAATACCAGAAATCAGTGTTAGAAGATTGTCCAAGTGCAATGACAATTCGTTCTCATTCCCGAGTTTTTCCCGAGTCGAAATATTAATTCTACATTGATCCTGCAAATTGCATCCAATTTGAAAAATCAATGTAGAATATCTAGGTGCGCAATAGTGAACAAGCTTTGTCTTACCTGAACGTCTTCATCTGGCTACTCTCGCAGTCTCGCCTATGATGAGTCTTCAACAGCGACGTATTCCGCAGTTATTTAATACTCGTTTACTTCGATAATGTATATGTACTTAATCCTTATATTCTTAATTTAAATGAGCAATTTTTGTTGATTTTGATTATATATTCGCTTAACAGCGCAAGAAAGAGAACAAAGATAAAAACGTAAATAGAACTGCCTTTGTTAGAACTGCGCGTGAGATAAATATATAAGGATTAAATAGTCATATAAGAATTAGAGGAAATGGGAAATGAAAAATACTTTTTATTCTCATCATTCTTAAAGTTCTTTTTTCCTTTCTTCTTCTCTTTTTTTCTTTTCTTTTTTCTAATGAGAATGATGAGAATTGTAGCTCTTAAAAGAGCTGAAGCTGCAAAAAGACAACGGTTATGTCTAATAATGCTGTTTCACTAATAAAGATTTTAATTCTGATTCGGTACAATAAGAAAGACAAACAAGAATGAGAAACGGACATTCTAGCAGATTTTAAACGAAAACAGCAATCTGAGCATTATTAGACGAATAAAAATCAACACTTGTAAAATTTATATAAGATTCTAAGATCATTATTCATAGTTTTTTAAATTATATGCAATTTTTCATTGAGAACATAATTACAAATTTGTATTCATAAACCTTAGCTTGCCTCAGCAATCTTGCTTGAATAGACATTCATATTTTACGAGAAAAGAAAAGTAGAACTCATGTTACGTGAAATTAGTTTAACGAATAATCAAATCTCAAGCTATTTTATCATTTTTCAGATGATAAACTATGAATGCTGATCTAATTTCGACTCGGGTATGTCCTTACTTCGAGTAAGATCCATTAAAATCAGAAAAATCCTGCGTAATAATAATGACTCGAGGTACCTCGAATACCATACATCATGTATCGCTGTCCTCGGCTATGTCTCTCGGCGCGCTCCGGAGTCCTCTCTCCATCCTGACTTCTCGATCCGACGTCCTCCTTCTGGTTGCTCCGTCGCAGCACCCCCGGATACTCCATGGTAGCACTGGCGACGACACTGACTCTAGCTCTAACACTCGCGCAAGTAAGATTCGGGGACAAAGAAACGCGTATTAACCGACACTCGTACTATTCTGCATCGCGGTATGCGCGTCGTTCGTCGGCCCGAGGCGCAATGTCCTTTCCGCAATCACGGAGTCATGTATAAGCGTACGAAACCAAACAATCGGGAAGGCACGGTTACCCCCCACCTTGCCGATCAGTGTTGATGCCTGCGTCGTCCGTTAGTTGAAAATGAAAACAACTCGTGTTTTCAAAGCATGCCTGTGAGAGACTCGCTTCAAACTTCACAATATTTATTTACGTCTGTTCCAAGAATCATATTACGTCGAATTCAAACTGTCTCTATTGACATGACATACATGAGATCTGCGATCGCATCATTGATCTTTCTTTGGACAAGGAAATCCTGAGAGGAACGCTGTTCGAGAATATCACATTTTATGTTTTAGGTGCCTTGCAGATTATCGAATCCGATGTAACAGATCAGGGAAAGTATGAATGCGTCGCTATGTATAACACGCGTGGGCACGGAGTACTTCAAGTCAATCACGTTATACGTGAAACGTACATATATTTTATATTATATAAAACTTAGCTTTTTAAACAAACAGGTAAAAAAAAGACGCCAAGTACAAGCGCAACACGTATTGTGTTATTTTTAGAAGTATCAAACTCAAATTATTTTTTTATTGTATATATGTGTACATAAGTTTTTACAAGTAAAACTTATAACTATAATAAAACTCTGTAACACTTTTCTACTGTACAAAAGAAGTGATATATTAGAACAGTAGCGCCAACTGAGAAACCTAACATGTATAATATGATTATTGTATACTTAACTTAATATTTTTAGAAATCTCAAATTCAAATTATTTTCTTTTTTAAGATATATATTATGTACATAATATAAGTTTTTATAATATATGTACATAAACTTTTAAAAGTAAAAATTATATCGTATTATAAAAATTTAACACGTTTGTTAATAGTGTCCAATATTAAAAAAAAATATCTTTTTAAAGGTTATGTTATTCAAAATATTCAAGAAAATCTAGCTACAAAAAATGTCCAAAACATAAATTTTTACAAGTAAAATTTATCATTATTTATTAGAACACTGAGTTATATGGTTATTTTACTTGTTATTGTAACAAATTAATTATTATAACAATGCAGTAAAAAATATTTAATACAAAATATCTTGGCGCGACTGCACCAAAAACTATATCGAACTAAAACTTGTTTAATACATATATGACAGCATTTTTATTATAATATATTCTATAATGGTTTATAATTTATTTATTATAATATTATATAAACTTAAATAAAATATTATACCGTATATGTATAAAAAGAATTTACAAGAACATTTTATTATAATAAAAATGCTGTCATGTATGTATTAATCAAGTTTTAGTTCGATATAGTTTTTTAAAGTCAAATTAGATATCATTGACATTTCGTCAATTATAATAAGAATAACATCTTTGAATAAAAAAATATCAAAATATATAAAATATATACACATTCGATATGTATAGTCTATAGTGAAGGTTTATCATTTATTATAATACTATATAAACTTAAATAAAACATTACACCGTATATATATATATATATATATAGAGAATTTACAAGTACATTTTATTATAATTACATAATATTATAATTATAATTTATTATTATTATATATACAAAAGTAATTGCAGATTCATAAAGTGTCTATGATTACTAGTCGGATGATGACGGATCGTGAATGCCGAGCGCGAAATTCCGACTTCTTATTCCCGGAAAATTCGTCAAACGTCAAACGAGGGGCAAAAAATGTCGTCGCTCGCGAGCCGATCAACACAATCGGCGCGATGTAAACATTGCGGGCCTCGGCGGCGGTTGAAGCAAGAGAGACTTGCCCTTGGGCATTTTTTCTTTTCTCGAAGGTTCCGGAACGACGAGAGGAATGCGAGGAGGCCTTTCAACTATACGCGACATTGATTTACTCTATTTATTGATTACTGAAAATAAAGAAAATTACTCTATCGAAGCATCGGACATTTGTTAGCTTTATGTTAATTAAAGAGGAATGTGTACGATTAGAAAATATGTTAGCAACTAATTGTACAGAATGTCAAAGTTGTAACGCCGTTTTCGGAGAATAATTAAAGGTCATGGTAGCGTTAAAGAGTGGAATTTCATCTCATGCGAATTTTGTCTCGTTCTTATTAAATGTTAGATTATCCGCTGCGGACAATAACTCTTCTACTTTTCATCTAATATTCAATGATAATAAATAACATTTAATTGCATTCGTTTGGCTTTTTTTATTTCGAAAATAAAAGAATATATACCAGGGTGAGATTTCACCCATGACAACATCAACGTGATTTTCTTTGATGCTTTTTATAAAAGTTCAAATATTTCGTCGCGGGATATTTATAATCGGAGTCTCGTCGCGTTAATTAACATGTGCTCCTCCAAGCGGATCGAATGCTCACCGACAGCCACTGTCAATGCCACGAACGAATGTCCGGAGCGGACGGGATGCTGAATTGAGAAGCAGGACGAAGGGAACGGGACGCGGGCAACGATAAATCATGCGTCTCCAAACGTATCAAATCGTTTGTTATACAGGAGACTTTGATACGGCAACATGTATTCGAATATTTATTCGTCCCATGGACCACTTATATATAATAAAAAAAAAAAATTAACGCGGATGAATGAACGATTCGTATCAATTTTTCCTTTTCTTATAGAGCAATGAAAGAGTATCGAAATCAGTATCGAAAATCGAATACTGATTAATACCATAAACCTCTCCTCCGTCCAAGTTACAATATCTTCCGCTTATTTTAATTTGTTAATTTTTTTATATTTATGATTAATTCAATCCTTAATTAAATTCGACGTTTATGCATGTCGAATTACTACCAAAAGATGAAAATCCGCACGCAATTGGATTCGAAATAATCTAAGTCAAATATAAATGCATAATCTTAATATTGATCTTTTTTATTTTTGTTATGCATTTTATGGAAACAATACCACTTGTCGGGGAACTCATATGTCTCTGCATTCGTGGAAGTGTCACTGAGATATGGTATATGCCAGCTGTTGGAGTTCTTCTGAGCATGTGGCATAAAGTTGAATGGCGATATGATTTTAAACTGGTTTCCTGACGATCTCACAAAATACTGATGTGAGCATTGCCATTTCTTGAACTCCCATTGTAAGCGGTTGTCTCCCAAAAGATACTTGTGCTGACGCATCAGATCTGACGATACAAATATTGCCTTTTCTCCGCTTGCCAGAGTCGCATACAATATATATGGATCATCGGAGGATCTAAAGTTTTTTTCATGCACAATCAATATGCGTGTGTTAGAAAAAAAAAAAAAAAATATAGGTAGGCAAATATAGATAGATAGAAACATATATAGAAAGGAAAATACAAACAAAAATTAATTTGCTTAAAATCACTAAAAAATAAATTCTTGTATTGAATGTGAATGTACAAAAAAATTCCCTAAAATAGACAATATTGCAATCTTTCCTTTATCGACTATTATTCTATATATCGTATAATGTATGATACTCTAGGTACATGGAATTCTGTTGCAGAAACTATATACTTACAAATTATTAGTCCAGAAAACAAACGCATATTTCTGTATGTATTCTAAAACGGATAGTTTTTTCTGATGTTTTCGGGTTAACACAAGCACTTTTTGTTTGCGTTTAACGAAATACTTAACCACATCGACTAACTGTAACGTAAAATATATAAAACGATTAAGAAGATATATAGTAAGAAACAAATCATAAATCCAATTAGCTTATGATCAATCAACTGAATTGAAATAATGAAAAAGTTTAAATAGTGAACAACGGAAAAAGTGAAACAGATAGCTTCATGCTAAATAAACTGAATGACAAGAATGTAAGGATAATGAAATCACATCGGAAGTAACAAGATGCCAAAATTACTTTACTAAAATAAAAAAATTTTTGTCATGAATTACCGTATTTGGCTTCGCAACGCCTTTCGTCATTGCATACGTCACATTAAGCCCATCGATCACTACATCGTAAGGCTTCGTTCTAGCGATGAACTCTATGAACTTTTCCAGCTCTTTCGGATGGGACTTATAATAAATATTCGATCCTACAATCACCTTCTTCATAAAAGCATTCACTAAATCTTGGAAAATATTCTGGTTAAACGACAAGTCAGACAGCTGCATAGAACATTTGCTGCATTTTCCTCTAGAATTAAAAATTCAAAAGTCATTATTTTTATACGACCAGAAATTACACAAGTTACAATGGTTATCGCTTGTTGTCGCGAAAATATCTACACAAATCATACGAATCGTGTATCTATCACTCTATAGTTAGAGATTGGAAAAAAGTTGCAATATTTCTTTTTTCCTCAAAAATAAATTTTGCGACATACTCGTATTCAATAAAAGAATCAGTTTTTTGATAACTCTCAGAAGATAAATTTTCCTGCTGAAATTTCTGTATTTCCTATTAGATACGTCTCAATTATCGAACTAATAGTATTGCAATTTTCTTCTCACTGAATATATGTATCGACGATATAGAGAGCCTACCCTTTAGAAATATACGTGGGTGCTGCGGACCAACTGTGATTTTTGGCGGCTTGAGCGTATGTGTTCAATATGTAATTGTACGTTTTCTCGCCATTGTCTGCCCAAAAGGTGAACATTTTCTCGAGCCTGTTATCGAAGAGTTCTTTACTACGTTCGCAGTAACGCAGATACGAGGTGTACGCGATTTCCTGCGGTGTCAATTTACGCAAGAGAATCCGCCGCATTGCGTCCCAGCCAACGTCAGGCTTGTCGTGTAAAAAGGCTGCACTGGCTATTGCAGAATACACGGTCGTACCTGGCATCGAGGTGAACTTGAGTATTTTGATTATCTCCTCTGATTTCTCCCATTCGTCTGTCAGACATAAACCAATGATGCATTGTTCGGCTGTGATTGAATCTAGATACGGATGCTTCTTTAACAGAGCGTTATAGGTAGCTATAATCTCCTGCTTGTCTGCATCTGTCAGTCGATCAGACTTTAGGGCAAAAAGTCGCAGATATTTGCCGATAATTGCTATATTCAGTGGATAATTGTGCTCTTTGAGGAATTGAAAGTATTCCATTGCCTTGTCTACGTGGAATTCCTGCAGGCACAAATCCATGATAGTGCTGTCGATTGTTATGGCTGTCACAGGTGGATACTGAAGAATGCTCTCACGTATGGTCTGCCAGTCTGTGCTTGACAGATCTTCTCTTGTGATTTTATTGTAAAGGTTTGGATATGTATTGATGATATCCTTCAAGTAAAATACTTTCCTGCTGCGTGTAGTGAATGAATTTGAGTTTTCATTATATGATTCTTGGTGTAATACTCTTCTCTGATACTTGCTACTCCAAGAGTTCCAAGAGCCTAGTAACCGATACAGCCTGTGATATACTGCCATTTTGTAATATATCTATTTACCTAAAATTTGATTGAAAATTATTTTATAATATAGCCAACCAATCAAAATATATTTTATTTTAAAGTATATATAATTTTATTAGAATTATTGTAAATTCTACACAATGTACAGCAGCAAGTTATCTAGAAATAAAAATAGAATTGAATACAAAGTCATGAAGGATAGAGAGAATAAATATTACTCATATACTTCTATCATTTATATATATTAATTTTTTTCATATTTATATATATTTTTAAAATTATTTGAAATCTGTCACAAACCATGTAATAATACATTTTATATGTTGTATTAATATTCTTTGAAATAAATTTATATCTTTTTTAAAAAACGTATTAAATTTATAGCCATAGAAAATATTAAATTTCAACTCGGATCTGAAAAATACTTTCAGAGTAAATACAAGATCATGGAGTTCCTAACTTTATTGTACGAAAAGAGGTTATCCCAATTAGTCTCAAAAAATTGTGGAAAAGACTCTTACATTAGTTTCCTCTAGCTTGTGCACACCGATGTAATATATCTGAAAGAATCATATTCAACATTTTCGTTTATCTTCTTTAAAAACTCTTGACAAGTTAATGTATTTTCTAACCTCTGTCGAGCACCGCCCATACCTGAGAAAACAATCAATCTTTTTTCGCTTAAAACTTTGTTCCTTTCGACTTCTTTTTCAGTTGTTACTGGAAAAATCTCATAAAACGAAAAGAAAAGAATCTTGAAGAAATTTGAAAAATTTCTTCCAAATCACAAATAATTGGTCTGTTTTTTTAGCTGCACTGCGGAACTAGTGAATAAGTTAAGCCAGCGGCACACGGTGCTTGATTTCGTGCTGGATTGATTGCTGGATGAAAATACTGCGTTCTGATTGGTGCATTTCCATCCATCTTCGGAAATGTACCAATCACAACGCAATATTTTCATCCAGCAAGCAATCCAGCACGAAAACAAGCACCGTGTGCCGCTGGCTTTAGAATGATTCGTTCGTTCGGTATATAGCTTTAGGTAGTAAGATGTACATTCAGAGGCAGTTATGGTGTCCCTCGGCGATGTCGTATACGCCTTAAAACAATCGAAAGCGATGACAGGTATATACGCATACACATATGGGCGTACTGTACAGCGCGAGAGAAGCGAAGAAGGAGAAGTGGTGGGAGACGTTCCGATGTTGCATCCTTATCGCACGTCGCACGATCGAGAGAGAAAGCATTACCAGACATGGTACGATTATTGGGGACATGGTGTCCCCAATAGCTGTCTCACTCGCTCTACGCTTGAATGTAGGGAATATGAGTGAGACAGCTATAGGTGTCTCGCTCGCTCTAATAGCCAAGTATCGCGCTATCCTCTTTTCTCCTTAGCAGAAATGCCGATTAAGGAGGGAATCTTGTCTGTAGGCCAGAAAAATAAGCTATTTTCACGAATTTTTTTTTTTCGGAAATTAAGCAGACGATTAATCTCAATGATAGAAATAATAATATATATTTTATTGACAAGAATAAATTTTTATTGCGTTATAAAAGAGAAAAGCGCGATACATGGCTATTACAGTGAGCGAGACACCTATAGAGACAGCGGTGCATATAAAAAATTAATATTTTTTAATTTCGCTTGTTCACACGGTAGATAGACATATCTCGAATATGTAACTACATGCTGAAGTCGATCGATCGACTTTTTATATAAAAAAAAGGTTTTCTCTCTGGTTTCAGGAGATGCTGTATAGCGTCTCGTTATTATTATTGTAATTTTTATTTTTATTAAAAGCCCCTAATTTTTTTTTATATTTTCAAGAGCGGAGCCTATATTTTAAGTAGCATTTTTATCTTACTTGCGTTTTTGTCCCAGTCCACCGTATTTCGAGATTTTATCGATATTTCATAAGAACCGTGAAACGGCGCGCGTCTAAACACGTCACGTTATTTTTTGTGTATTTGCTACATTATTATTTATATAACGCTATAAAAATTCATTCTTATCAGTAAAATATATATTATTATTTCCATCAAGTTTGAGATCAATCGTCTGCTTAGTTTCCGAAAAAAAAAATTCGTGAAAATAGCTTATTTTTCTGACCTACAGACAGGATTCCCTCCTCAATCGGCATTATTCCATATCTATTACCATCCATGCTTATCTCGAGGTACGTTTCATATTCCAGCCACGATATTCCTAAGATGGCGCTAATGCACTACGAGATTTTTCTGGTACGCTATATCCCTGGTAAGGTTAACAGTACAGTTTACAGTAGCGAGTTTTGCAATACCGTCTCTCAGGTACGGTAAACGTAAATCGGGGACGTTATTCGCTCGCGAAATAACGTCGCGATGTACCAAGCGATCAATAGCATTAATGATTTACGTTTACCGTATCTGGAGTGACGGTATTGGAAAAACTCCCCAGTATGTCGTCGGTGGCCACGTCGTGATTTCTTGCGCTCAGGATAAAACAGGCATATGAGAGAGCGAGCCGCGTTTCGCGATTCGTCCTGAGGAGTGAGGACCCTACTCCGAGCGACGCGTCGAGAAGGAGTGGGACGGCTCGCCAGATGATAATGGGCGGTGGAGCCGCGTTGATAAAGCTCACTCGCGGTCGCGGTTCGTACGTGCGTTGCCGTGAACGCCGGCCTTAAAGTGTCGTCATCATCATCGTTCACCATCGACGAGTAAGGAGATCGGCGAGTGAGAAGAATCGGCAGTCTCGTGAACCTCCGCGGCGCTAAACCCATTCGTTCGATTGCTGCCCGCCGGAGTAACCGACAAGTCGCGGAGACGCCGCGGGAAAGAGGCCGTCCGAGAGAAAGAGTGCTGCAGCTTTTGCAGAATCATCAGGACGTAAGTGTGCGGCAGTTTCGCTCGGCGAACGCGCATAATCACGGCGCGCTAAACATTAAAACGACCGCGCGCCGGCCGACGATAATGCGGTAAAAATAAGACTGCTCGATAATAAGATGTAACAACTGCGATATCTCGAAGCGACTGCTCGACTGCATCTGGAGCAAGTTGCCGCTGATGCGTTGGGACTGTTACTTCAAAATATCAATCTTGAAATCGTTCTTTCGACAGTTCCTCTCGCAATATCGATATCCAATTGTTGCGTATTTAATTCAACTAAATCTTTTTAAGCTGCACAAGCTTAATGTTCAACCCAATATTTTCTGTCGCGATGGTAAAAACTGTCGCTTCTGAAACGTGAGTTCTTATTCGGCTACACGAACTGAGATATCTTTCCTATGCATAAATATTAATATTATTATCATATGTATCGTTACCAATGTATATCGTTATCATAAAACATGCCGCTCTATATATAATATCCGTGTTAGAACAATTAATTTATAACTATATTTGCAAGTAGGCAGGATTCGTTTCGCCAAGTGCCGCAACATATTTTTCATATAAATTACGTTGTATTTTCGTGATTATTGCTGATCTTCTTCTGAAAGCGAATAACATCAAATTTAGCCGAAATTATCTAAACGTAAAATGTTTATAAGAAGAACAACACGGCGTTCAGGGAAACTACGCTTGACGCCGTTTTTCGCAAGCAAGCGAAAATTCTGGTCAATTATCGAGCAATTTTGAAATGACGAATAAACGAATAGCGACAAGCATCGTTTCGCGATAACGAACGATCCCGAAGCAGGCTGGTAATATTATGCTGGTCAAAGCCACCATCGATGAGACGCTAGAAAAATTTCCTCGCGCTAATGATCGTGTTTGGTCAACAACTGCATAGATCTCGCAGTCTTATCAATTTTAATTGATAAGGCTGCAATTGATTTAGCGCGCCACACGCATGCGCTCCGCGCGTGTGTGCATGAGATGCAGATATACACATCGTCATGCGCCTTTCGCATGACATGCATGACGAAAAATATACAGTTGCTATTTATCCCGTCTCGTACGCTTCCTCTTCTCTCTTCTTTCCGCTCTCGTGAGTGTTTAAACGATGACAATGACAATGCGTTTCTGCAAGAGAGTCATCGTTTTTCTCCATCGAGCGTGATCTTGTTTCGCCATCGAGAGGCGCATCGCCAGCGACGAGACGATTAATAAATCAACGTTCTTCCGATTCACGTGATCCACAAATGTGATCAACGGATAATTAATAAATAGAGACGCAAATATAATTGAGACGCGCACACACACACACACACACACACACACACACACACGAAATGTTGAATCCTAGGACAAGCACACGTGCTCAGCCGAAACGCAACTTGGAGGATCAGCCTCGGCGGAATGAGCGGTTGATATCGATTTAACGATGATAACGCTATGAAGACAAAGAATTGTCACTTGAGCGGGCGCAACAGAGGTGTCTCGCGTGTCTCTTTCCATTCTTTTCACCCGCGCGCTTTGTAACAAAGAGTTCACAGTTATCTTATCGTCTTGTTTTATAGAATTTGTCACTTTGAAACAAGCAGCAGACTTTCCGTGTACCGTTAATCTTTTGTTTTCACACTGTACACGGCAGGACGAAGCGAGAACGCAAGCGAATTCTGAAACTTTTAACAACGACGATGTTATCGTTGCGCGTCTCTGCCGTGTATATTACACCTGCGCAACGACAATGTGGCAACGATAATGACACTGCCCTTAAAAGTTACAGAATAGAAAATTACAGAATGGTTACAAAAGACCTGGTCGTGTATCCAAGTGCTTTTGAATCCAAAGAATACATCAATTTAATGAAAGGAATGCAGTTGATGTTTCTTTCAATGCAGTTGGTTATTTTTCGCACACGCAACTTTCAGAACCGCAAGAGAATAATAATAAGAAGAAATCTCACTCCGAGCGCCAAACATGGACAATTACACTTCCGACTCGAGCGACTCGGATTTTAGCAAAACGCTGGATCTGTCGTATCTATCGCTAAGTGCCGAAGAGCTGGACGAGCAACTGATGGCCATTAAGAGCCCGGAACACGTGGACACGCTGTTGCTGAAGCAGAATCGTCTGAGCAATTTACCCTCCAGCGTGATCAGGTTTACCGGCCTCAATACTCTCGACATCTCCGGCTGCGGCCTCAGCAGACTGCCGGACTTCTGGCCGGATTGTCCGCTCACCTGCCTGATCGCCAAGCACAACCAGCTGACGAACGACGGCCTGGTCAAAGCCTTCGAGAACCTGACTTCCGTGCGCGAGCTGAACCTCAGCGGCAATCGGCTCACTGAGTTTCCTGACCAGGTACTTAACTTGGTGGACCTCAAGTACCTCTACCTCGGCGGCAATCTCATCGGCGAGATCACCGAGAACATCTGGAAGTTGCAGAGGTGAGATCGCACGTGTTAAGGTGAATAAATTTAATGTGTAACTCGACCGAATTGTCGACAAGAAGAGATATGATTGTTGTTTGAGTTTCGACAGCTGAGAATTTTCAGCTGTCAAGTTCGGAGAATTCAATTGCGAGTAAAATAATTGCGACGATCGATTATTCTGTCCGACACTCGGAGACAGGAAAGTTATTAATATAACAATATCAATGTCGAAGCTGTTTTATTCGCGACGAAACTGTGTAAAAAAAATCAGTGTAATTTTGATAAATTCAAATATCGTGGCGATAACGGAGGTCGGAATATCTGTTCGCGATGACTTTGTTGCCCTTTAGATTTGTCGATCGGAAAGTGAGTAAATAGACTAAATTTACACGGGTCTTGATCCGTAGCTTCACTACGTCACGTCGCGTCTGGATGTCCAACTGTGCGATCACGTTCCCTGTGCATGCGCTTTCACGTATCTTCTCTAAAATCAAGGCGACACGAGAATCAAGGTCCTCCGTCTGTTCGCAGCGCACAACTTGAACCTAAAAAATCGATTTTTCAGTGAGCGCGAGAGGCAGATTATTTAACACTGCTTCTATAAATTCTAGATGAAAATAGAATTTTTCTCAACGAAAAAATATAATATTTCTTAATCAGTTAAAAGTTAATTAAATCTAATTAAAAAATTAATCTTTAATATTGATCGTATTGAGGTGTAATTTTTCTTATAATGTCAATTCGTCTCATGATTGAAACATGATCGAAGGATATTTCGAAGAATCTCCTTTTTTAATATAATTTATACAATAATGTTAGATATTAGGTTGGTGCAAAAATATTTACGACCTTTACGTATCGAGTATAAAGATGCATATATATCAATTAAAAATTATATTTATTAATTAAAATAAAGGCCATTGGCCTGCACACATTTCTCCCAACGGGAAACAAGGGAATTAATTTATTCCTACAAGAATAAAAAAGATAGAGTTCTGGAAAAGATAACGGTAAGTAGAAAAATCGGCGCCAAACTTAAAATGATAAAAACCGCAATTATATTTGCACCAACCTAATACTAATTTTAAATATTTTAAAAAATTATTGATTGTAGATATTTTGACGGAGAATCAACAAATATGGAAGCAACAATTCATTGTTGTCTCATGAGATTGTTTCTAAGAAAATCGGGTTTTCAATTTGGTCGGGAAAAAAAAATTGCATTGAAGTGTAATCAATTCATATTGGATTTTCACGGTTGATTTCGAGCAGCTGTTTAAATAACGTCTCGATTCGTCGAAAGGTTGCAGGTGCTATCAATGGGAGGCAACAGATTGTTGGAGGTACCGTCCACTCTCGGTCAGCTCAAAGCCCTGCAGGCCCTCGTACTGTGTGACAATATGCTGGAGAGCCTGCCGAGCTCAATAGCCAATCTGACGAGACTCAAGTCCCTGTTGCTGCATAAGAATAGACTAAGGACATTACCCACCGAAATCATCAAGCTGAAATGCCTGACAGAGGTTGGTCCACAGAATAATGAAAAAGAGCAGATGAATTGAACGCCATCGTTATCGCATCTGGCGTTATCGAGTTGCACATCAATGAATTTTGCGTTGATATTGAAGACCTTGCGGTGAAGGCGATGACTTGGGCGCTTTATCTTTCAGTTATCTTTGCGAGACAACCCGCTGGTGGTGAGATTCGTGTCCGATATGACGCACGACCCACCGTCTCTGTTGGAGTTGGCGGCGCGCGTCATCAAGACCAACGATATCCGATATGACGACGAGGATGTGCCGCGTAACCTGCTGGAATACCTTGACAGCGCCCACCATTGCGTCAATCCCAAGTGCAAAGGTCACCTTTCGAAATTTCTCACTCACCGAGAGATCCCTTCGCGACAAAGTCCGACCTTGTTTTTGCTTTGCGATTTGATCACTCCCCTGTATCATATATTTATCATACATTATATGATATTTTGCGTCATATCTCTGCGACACATTATATATTTATCATACCTTCTATCATATATTATATATATTATATATTTTCATCATATAATTTTATCGTACATTTGATACCTCTTTGTTTGTCGATTTTTGCCTCGACAAGCGGTCATCCTCTGATATGCCATAAACGACGAGCGCTAAATAAAGAACGCTCCGTTTTCTCGGTGCAGGTGTTTTCTTCAACAACCGCGTGGAGCATGTCAAATTCGTCGACTTCTGCGGCAAATATCGCCTGCCGCTGCTACAGTATCTGTGCAGCAGCAAGTGCATCGGGCCACGTGACAGCGACGAGGAGCTCGTATCCGGTGCCATGATCAGGAAGGTTCTTCTCGGTTGAAAGCCCGAAGAACATCCCGCATCTGTGCGACGTTCTGATGGTCTGACGAAGACTTCGACGGGCTGACGAGCGTCTCTTCACTTCTCGCTCGGAGATCTCACAGATGGACCGGCGATTTCTCGACCTGGACGTTGATACGCACATATATGCGCAAGCATACGCACGCGCACATGCACACTCGTATCTTTATAATTTCTATTTTGAGTTAAACGATGCGCGGTACCGCGAGTGACGCAAGTACAGTTCGACGAAATATAGCAAATAAAACGTTTCATGCGATAAAACGTTTTTTTCCACCATTTTGTCCCCACAAGCGACAAAGTACAGATATAGTGCAATAATTCGTAGAACCGCTTGCATCTCGAAGAGATAAAAGGTCACCACCTGTTGTCGGGAGGAAAGCTCTGCCTGGCGCAGAAGAGGGACGTAAGGCGGAGGTTAACATTATCGTTAATATTTTATTGTTAAATAAACCACAAAATGTACAGTAATAATAATAATAATAATAATAATAATAATAATAATAATAATAATAATAATAATATTATCATATAGGGGACCCTACGCGCCATGAAGTTGCTCTTCACTTTTAAGGCGGAGTAACGGCCTCGCGCGATTCTCGCTTAAAACACATTCAGAATTATGCTACAAGATATCTCACCAGCGTCGTCGTCATTTTCATCATCATTATCATCATTAATATCATCATCATCATTATCGTCTACGACGACGTCGTTATCATCGTCGTCGTCGTCATCATCGTCTTCATGGTTAATACCCTCGCGAAGAGCACGCGTTCGTCGTGCACGCGCGCGCATTTTGCAAAACTAAAAAAACATTCGAGAGAAAGTTAAACGGCGGAGGAGCGAAACGAGAAGGTCCGTAGGTAGGTAGGTAAGCGATTGGGTAGATAGGTAGGTAGGTAGAGGTAGGAGGGGAGGTAAGTAGGTAGGTAAGGTAGTGTGTGTGTATATTTATAATTATTTATATTTATAGGACATCATTATATAATAATAATAATAATCATTATAATCATAATAATCGTCTCGTAATTGTAAACATAGCAATCGTATTAAGAGCCTTGCTACTTTTTTTCTTTTTTTCCTCTATTTTTTTATCCTCTGTTACCGCGTACAGTGTGTGTAATCAGTATAATTACCTATACATACATATACATATTCATATATATAATTATATACGTTTTTATCTATATATTACATACATATATATGTATGTACATGCTTCAACTTCTTTTCTCTCTCTTTCGTTCCTTCGCTCTCGCCCCCCTCTCTCTCTCTCTCTCTCTCTCTCTCTCTCTCTCTCTCTCTCTCTCTCTCTCTCTCTCTCTCTCTCTCTCTCTCTCTCTCCCCCTCTCTCTTTACCGATTCTTTCGCGAATGTACTTTCATTTTTCATAGTTACACGCGCGCACGCACGCAGCCTCTTTCATCCCTTGAATTAGCGCGTTTATTATAGGCGTGTGTTTCTTTTGTTGTTTCTCGCACGGTAGTAATTAGCACTAATCTGCTTATTTCTTTTTCATGTTTGTTTTCTTTTTAACCATTATCGTCATTATCGTTGCCGTCATCTCTCTCTCTCTTCCATCTCTTTCTCTCTCTCTCTCTCTCTCTCTCTCTCTCTCTCCATTTTTTAATCTCTGTATCTTTTATATATAACTGCGTAGTAAATAATATTTTTCGCTTACGCGTGTATTTTCTTTTTGTATTTGTGTATCCTGTGTATTTGTGTGTGTGTGTGTGTACGTGTATATGTATATATGTATGTATGTATGTATGTATAAGTATGTGGCTCGCTATGTATATTAAACAATTTTTTCCCTAATATCGTACATCCAGGAGTTTAACATTAAGGACTCACTGCACGGCTGGGGACGCATCGTCATTGTTTAATCGCTCATAGCCGTTATTATCCAAAAGTTTCGCCTTCGGGATCGTCGTTGCTGTCATCGTCATCGTCGTCGTCGTCGTCGTCGTTGTCGTCGTTGTCGTCATCGTCGCTGTCACCGTCATCGTCCTCGTTTTCGTCGTTGTCGTGGTCGCCCCGATCACATGAGACGTCGTCTCACCCGGTACACGTTGTTCTCTCTTATTCGCCGTCCACCACCTGCTGCTCCTGCGCCTCCTGCTCCTTCGCCTCCTTGGCGTCCTTGTCCTCCTCTAAAACGCGACATTGTCCGGTATAAACTCGGCCAAGTCGTGGCGGCGTGCTCTCGTCTACGTCGAATTCTTGCCAGTCTGTGCCTCTATCGCTAGCCGATTATCTCCCCGACGAGAGTCTCACGCGGGAGCGAGGGTGATACGTTACGCTCTTTGAAAAAAAATATTTCTCATGAAAAAAATAAGAGGTCAGTAGGTCTGAGAGAAGATCGAGCGTGCGATTTCACGCAGCCGTCGTTTTGCCTGTTCGACGCTCAATTTTGCTCGACGACGATTATCGCCTCGTGATCTTCACCGATTCGCCCCTTTAGACTCTGCTCCCTTCGACGAGAATCCGTCGGACGAGATTCTCCAGTCGTCTGAAGATTCTCGTCGCGTCTCCGTCGTAATGATTGTACAATGAGACCTCGACGAGGTGTCGCACGCGCTTGCATACAACAACTATTGTACGCTCGTGGTGAACATCCGTGAGCAATCGTTTCGGCGTATCGTCGGGTCAGATAGATCGGTTAGAGTGCACAGACAGCGTCATCGAGGATATCACGAGGTGATAACGAAGCGTAATGGCCGCTCTGTCATAGGGTGTCCCAGAATTCGTGGATGGTGCCTGCACGTGTGTGATGCTTCTCGTCGACTTCGAGGTGAATTTTCCGCTTATAAAGAAGGTGATATTTGGTACTTTGAAGTTATTTTTTTAACTAAATGGTCAGTTTTCTGTTTAAGGGAGAGAGAGACTTTTGGAGGTTTCGGTTGTGTAGACTTTGAACAGGGAAAGATAATCCGGTATGGAGTAGAAAAAACTGGTTGAATTAACATAGTTTTGATTCAATAAAAAGGAACTTTTAAATCTCATGAATCAAACTTGATTCTTAATATATCTTGCGAATTTCTGTCTCTGCTTAATCGAGAGGTCGATGGCGACGACGAGTGTTCGGTGATACTGGGACACCCTGTACAGCAGAATCGGCGATCGGTTCCTTAATTCGTACACATGAAGGGAAGCGTCATCATGAGAAAATGGTGATGGGAGGGATCATGAGAAAAACCGCCAGCCGATTTTTCTGTGTTTTTTTTTTCATCTCTCATTGCTTTAATGAGTGTCTTCGATTCGAGAGGTAATCTCGACGCACTGCTAACGGGGGATCCGGATCGAGAACGTCGATCGTCGCCGGATCCCGAGATCTCGGCGCGAGCGTGAGAGCGCGCTTCTGAAGAGGATGTCCTGGCGAATCGGCGCGGCGTGTGAGCGTCTCTCCCGCACGAAGAGGCTCCGCCGAGAGAATCGCACGGCGGTATCATCGCGAGATGGCGAGCCAATAAACACCAACTGACAGTAACGTTACATCGTTGTTGTAACTCCCCACTCAACGATGTAACTGTTACATACATGTGTTATCAGATTAGCGCAAGAGATGTTATTTTCCTGTTAAATTTTCGCAGGATATTTGGGTAGATTAAGGGGAAAGTAGGGAAATTTTCGTTAAATTTCTCAGGAAGTATCGAGTCGATATATATATAGCGTTTATTTTTTCATAATAAAATTCGTTTGAATAATAATTTATATAATTCAACAATTTTCTTTTTTGAGAAAAATCAAACATATATTTTAAGATAAAAATGCAATCATTCGTACAATTAATCTCATAATGAAAGTTACTTTTATTCGTAAAAATTAATGACCCTTCGAAATTGGATAATCTCGTTTTTCATTTCGCGACGAACCTTTTTGTACCAACTTGATATATCATACTCGCATGTTCGAATGGGAAATTACAACATCGATGTAATGTTACTATTGGTTAGTGTTTATTGGGAATTTGCTAATTGAACAGCGACTTCGTCCCGCAGTCGACCGAGAGTGCTACACGTGATCTCTTTGAGATACCGAGAATATCTGTTGATTAATGCGTACACACACACACACATACACACACACACACACACACATCACACATACACACACGCACATACGTTATGCGCGTGTGTCGTAACACAATCGGCTTACATACACGATACGATCTTCTCGGGAGAACAGCGGAGACTGAGAGAGACAGAGTGTTTCTCGTCGATACACCGTGACGATTTAGCGTTTCTTACCTTATGCGGATATTAGCGTGCGACTCGCGACGGAAACAACGTCGCGAACGAAGCATTATTAGCGAAAATGTAATCGGTTCATGCAAAAAGTTCGTCGGACCGACTCGAAAAGACGAAATCTCGCTCGCGAGGACTACAGTTGGATTCAACAGTTGGACAATTCGACCATTAAATTTAGCAATTAAACAGCGAATAACAAGGTCCTTTTCGCGAGACGTCAATCCCGTGCCGTGGAAAAACTCCATTTTTCACGAGAATTATTTTTTTATTTTTTCAATTCCATCGATCCTCCTTCACAGCACTCTTTTTCCGTCCATCTCTCTCTCCCTCTCTTTTTCTCTCCGTTTCAGTTCTCCTCTCGAAAGCTCCTCGATTCGAAACGAAGTTTGAAGTGGAACTTCAGCGAGAGGACAAGCTACTTGCACCAACTTGACACGTGTGCGTGCACGCACACATACACACGCCAACACGCATATACACACGCGTATATGTACATATTAAATTAGTTTATTAACCTTTTTTTCTCTCTTTACACAATTGTTACACTTCATCCGCCGCACCACGGGCATGGGGCGCGAACGATGACGCGGTTGGGGCTGAGGAGTACAGGATAAAAGGGAGATTGTGAATGAGATGCTGTCGCGAACGAGGAAGGGACACTTCGTTCGCTCGAGAGGGGCGCGAGCCCCTCTTCCCGCTTCGGTTTCTTTACAACAGTAATGTAAACGTTGTAATCTTCTCTATCTCTCTCAACGTCGTTATTATTATTATTGTTAAAATTAATCCGCACACATGTACACACATGCAGATCAACGTTACTTTATTTTATACATATACGTAATATTTTTTATATACTTTAATTATAGATCGATCGCAAAATTCGTTCGCTTCCGACACCAGGTTTCGCTTCTTATTTATCTCCTCGCCCGCTCGTCGCGCGCTCTTGACAATCGTAGAGGAGGAGAAGCGAGGAGAGACGAACACTCGTAGAGGGGAAACAACAGCGCGAACGAATCCTCCGATCGATCCTGATATTTTATGTAGAACTTTCAGTATTTTACACTAGCTCTTCTCCCGCGTCGGTTTCTCTCGCAGGTGCTCTTGTTTCTCGCGGCGAGACGGGACATGAGAGAGGCGCAGAATATCGGAGAGAGAGAGAGAGAGAGAGAGAGAGGAATCAATGTAAATTAAATCGATGAATTCATTTATTAATAATAATAATAATTACGATAAATAATCAACAATTTACGTTCATCTCATACGGTTCGATATTCGTGTATAAAACATGCGCACGTTTGGGATGGTTCGGTCGCTTCGTGTAGCACGGCTTCTCCGCACTTTCCAGATGCTTCTCCCGATGTGTCACACGAGAGACCCTGAAGCAAGTACCGCGCCCACGAAGAAGTGTATGAAACGGAGACCGACGCTCCTCGATTCGCACTTCCGGACAGATGGAAAATCCAGTTTCCCTCTAGCTCGCATGACGAACATTAAATACGCCTTTCTGACTTCAAGATCAGTTTTTCTTATTGTTTTACGAATGACGTTGTTTCAGCTCAAGATATCGAAAAAGCGTATTTAACGTTCGTTATGGGTCTAAGATACGACCTCAGGCGATTGTCCTCGTTCTTTCGTCGAAAATTCGCACGAACGCGCTGCTCGAAACGACTGGATGATCGCTTCCTTTCCTTTTCTTTTTTTCGAAAGTACATGTAACGTCACAAAGTCCAAAACACTTAAAATGATCGACTGACAAACTAAATTCCGCCCGAACATGCTTAACCTTCTTTTCGTGACACGTTCGTTCGTATAAATATGATATTTTTCTCCTCTCGACTCAAGTGCTCGTTCAGTTGCCAGCGCTCGACAGAGACTTGAGAAAAAAAGTGTCGACACGGCGATCGTCTCAAACGACATTTTTCTCTTCTTTTCCCGTTTTTTAAATCTGTACATTGATTTATTTGCGTTATTACAAGTCCAAGTTACTATTAACCGCGTTCGACATTGCCGACGGACTCGATCGTTCTTTCTTTCTTTCTTCTGCTCTTCATTGTTGATCGTGACTCAACGGTGAAGAGGCTCCTGACTACATCACTACAGTGAGCATGTATGTCTGAAAATTGCTCGGAGTCGCCCAAGAAATGAACGATTCGCAGAAACGCAAGTTTACAGTCGGTCTTGCTTAAGCGGCAAGAATCTTGGGAATTTTTTTTTCAGAAATCGCAGTCAAATCGCATCAGCGAGATATTCGCCGCACTAATCGGTTAAACTTTTAGCAAAGATTCTGTCAAAGTTGTGAGAAAGTCGCTCGATTACAACGATTCCTCTCTTTCAAGTTCGTTCTCTTTCTTTTTTTCTGTGTCTCTTAAATGTATCGGTTTTGCTTCTCTTCGAGGCTGGAAGCACATTCCAAAAAATGTTCTGTATTATCTCGTATTATCTCTTCTGGAAAACCGATTGGGGGATGAGAGGGATAGAATCGATAATACGAATAATAACTCTGATTAAAATTAAACGAGATACGATTATCACGAACTAACGAAAAAAGAAACAAGGAAAAATAAAGAGAGAAAAAGCTAATGGTTAAAAAAAAAACAACTTAATTCATACTTTTCAACATTGATAAAACTCTAATTTTGAGGGCTTCCTTCTCACGCTCTTTCCTCATCTTCCTCTTCAACATGTCGTTCGCGTTCGCTCTTTTTCTTTCTCTTCCTTTCTCATCAAGTTTGCACACTTTCTCTTGTCTTACCTTCGTTTTATGTTTTCGTGAAAGCGAGTCCGCTTGGTATTGCAGGATCCGAATATCCGTCGTTAAATTCATCATTATGATCGCAAGACAATCTGGTACGTGTGTGTGTATATTTATGACATGTCGTCGGCTTAAAAAGTAAATCGCTCCGCTAAATCAGTCAGAAGAGGTTCGTCATGAGGGATAAAAAGAAAAAGAAAAAGGAAAAAAAAAAGAAAGGAAAAAAAGGCGACACATACGAGGCGAAAATTTGGAAAGCCAAGTTCGAAAAGTCGCGCGAGAGAAGTGGCGCATGACAAAAACGACGATTCAGCGATTTGCCGGTCAAGCGATGTGTGGCAGCGCGTCGCGACGTCGAGTACATGAAAAATCGAAACCGTCTCGAAAGAGTATGTAATAAAAGTGGCGATAACACGAAGCGTCGTTGACATCGACGAGATGCGGCAGATTCTGTTGCTGACGGTCTTCTCGTTCACGCTCTAATGCGTCCCAATAACTTGTCAGTTTTTCATTCTTTGCGTCAAAAGGGACACAATGCGTGTCTCTTCGCTCGGAGATTTGAACGCAGCACGAAGAATATCTTCGAGACGAGACAATGAGCCTGTCTGTGTCGGACACATTGTTTTCCATGTTGCCGCGTTTAATGCGTTGACTGCGTTTAATAAAGGAAGTTTGCAAGTATTGTATAAAATCCGTAAATCTAATAAGTGCTCTTAGATTTAACTAAGATTAAGAGTACACGCCAGTTAGACTCACGAATTTTACGACAGTCGTAGAACAGCTTCCTCTGCTAAACGCAACTACTAGTGAGTCTTCGTCGTTAATGTGCGTTTCGAATCTACGAAGCCGCTAAAATGAGACGAGCCAACGGCGCGAGACCGACGGTCTCCTTCGGTCATCTTCGGTATGGTCAAGCCGATTTCGCAATGTTTTCACAAAAAGTCACGTTATTGGCATGTTGTCGGATTATCACGCGTACGGATGAAGCTTTCCATTCAGTCACTCAGGAAAACCGAGTCATCGTTGTTGTCAAGAAGGAACGTTCTATGCGCACCTTGCGAATGCGACTCGACCTTCGATTATATATCTTTTTAGATTACTTTTTAACTAGTGTCACTTTTAGCAGTTACAGAGGGACCGATTTCTCTATATACAGTACACCAAATTCGCCTCGACAACTTGTCGCGCAAGCGAATAGTATCACGAGCGCTAACCGCAAAATGATCTTTCTGTTACGATCGTCGAGAGCTGATCTTTCGCAGCCGGCGTTTCTTTCTCCTTCTCTTTTTCTGTCAAAACGTTAACCTAAACTTCACTTGGAACGTTATATATACATACACACACACACACGAAGATCTCTCTCTCTCTCTCTCTCTCTCTCTCTCTCTCTCTCTCTCCGGCTGTGATTCTCAGCTAAGGTAGCAATTGTCGAGATCGAAAAGGGCATATAACCGGCATCTACACATGCATACATATGTGTGTATGTGTATATATACATATATACACACACACTGAAATCGACTCGGCGGCAACAAGGCGGAACTTTGCAGAAGCTTTGCACGATGGTCGCAGTGTCTTAAGAAAACGTACAAGTTACTAAACGTCGGATTACACATTTTCCTCCTGCTTCTTCCTCAACTAGAATCGCGCGCGGTTTGGCGGTTTATTAAATGTTACTAAAAGTGAAAACGATTTGGATATTTCTTCCTATGTACATATACCCCGAGATATTCGCGAGCCTGCCGAGAGAACGCGGGCTGCGACCCGCGACATTTCCCGTTGCAATCGCAATCGACATACGCTCTTCGCTCTCTCTCTCTCTCTCTCTCTCTCTCTCTCTCTCTCTCTCTCTCTCTCTCTCTTTCTACATGGGAAAAATTGTAAGAATCTTACAAATCTATACGCTGTTTCGGGGCAGTAGCGGTATGGCCACGCTCTGCTCGATTAATTAATTAATATCGCATCGAGAAACTCGCATTCTTTCGCACAAGCGCGGACATCCTCGTCAGAAGGTTCTCCCCTGTGGAGGGGCAGGGCAGGCGGTCAACACCGCGTCACCCACCTTGAACGACTACTTACACTCTAACTGATATAATAACGTTAGAAAAGAAAAAGGATAAAGACGGGTGGGGGAGAGGGAGATATCGAGTGGGGGAAGAAAAGAAATCAAAGAAAGAGAGTGATGAAGCGACTGGTAGTGGCTCAGGCCATGTTCGATTGGCCGGGGTTGTCGGCGTTATGGGTGGTGTTGGTGTTAGTGTTGCTCGTGGTGGTGGTCGTGGTGGTGGTGTTGTTGGGATTGACGCTAGAGCTATCGCTAGAGTTACCGCTGGCGCCCGCCGCGCCGCCGACGGCGACGCCTGTGGCTTCCGACTGGCCTCCGCCACCGCCGCCACCTCCGCCGCCGCCGGGATTATCCGTGGACGACTGCATGTACTTCGGTATCAGCATGGAGTTGAGCACCGGCTGGATCCGCAGCTCGTGCTCGGTGAAGTTGAAGAGCGGCGGCAGCTCGCGGCCGCTCGGCAGCCGCGTGCCCTGTTCGCGCAGCTCGTGGAAGAACGAGTGCGCGCACGCCTGCAGCGGCGTCATCCGCAAAGACGGGGTGTATTCCAGCAGTCGTGCTACCAGATCCATCGCTTCCGGCGGCGTACGCGCCCTGAACACCTGCAAATGCGAGTCGCATCGTTCAGTCTGTCCAGACAATGTTGCCTTTTCCTTCTCCTGTCTTTCTTCGTTTGTTCGTTCGATCGTCTGAATTGTTCAACAATCTTTTTATGTTCTTCTTTTCTATTGTGTCTTGCAAATCGTCTATTAGTTCCTTTATTTGTTTCCGATTCACATATAAAACAGCATGAAACACAGGACAAGAACGATGCAAGTGTGAATGTGTGTGTGTGTGTGTGTGTAACGTAGTATGTGTATATCATATTTAAGGCGAGCAATAACACAAAGCACTCTCTATTCTCTTCGCGCGAATAGACACGAAAGGAAACTGGTCTGCCACCACACAATCCGTGTTAATCGAGATCTCTCGTCAGTCAGTCTAAATTGTTGGCAAATGCAGAAGTAAAAAAAGATAATGAAAAATATCACCGGAATGTCAGAGCAAGTGATACACACATTCTCTCTCTCTCTCTCTCTCTCTCTCTCTCTCTCTCTCTCTCTCTCTCTCTCTGTCTTTCAATCACTTTCAGTCACCAGAGCAGATCGCGCGTGAAACAAGAATCGTTAGTAACGTTAGCAGCTTTCGTTTATTGAGAGTATACAAAAGGTAGATGTGAATCAGGCATTGCGTGCGTCTCATGAGGAGAGTCACATTATTTTCTCTCTTTCCTTCTCTCCCGGCCGTCTGGAACTCACATTTCATGAAAGGGATGAACACCTCGTCTCACAAAGTTCGCGTAGAGCTTCGTAGGACGCACACGGAAACGTTCCGACCAAAGACGGCTGGGAAAGACAGGTTTCACAACAAGTGACCGTAGCGATCAGAGATCATCTGTTTATCCGCGCTTTTCCTCGATCAGTTCATTCTCCAGACAGATCGTCCGGGCATCGAAATCCAATTGTTGTTACACTCTGGGTGTTAGTACAACGGCCGGAAAAGTGAAGGAAACGTTTGTGCCAGCCAATATCGAGCAACACGTTGCAAGTGGTACCACTTACTCTGATCTTCTGGTGCTCCGTGGAACACATAGGTGCACTCATTCGCTGAAGCATATACTGCAAACCACGAGTACACATGTACTGATGAATGACACTCCGACGATCGAGGCGCCTCTGGGCCCTAGTCAGGCGGGGCGGTACAATGGGAGAAGGAGAGGGAGGTAGTTTCCAATGTTAAAAAGCTACTTCCCTCGCCTCCTCCCGGTGAGTGCGCGCTGAATAATTCCATCCGCATGCAATGTTATCATCAGGTCCGAGCCTACCTTCCTTTTTCTTTCTTTTCAACGTACAACAATCGAACATCTTCTTTTTCCAATAGTCGGTATTCGAAACAAGAACAAAGATGATCTTTGTTGAACTTGTCGAGCGCGTTTGTTGGAATATTTTCAAAATTTCAGGGAGAAGAGAACTCTTCGATTATCGAACGTGAGGTCTTAGTCACAGAGTTGCTAAACACGTGAGACGAGACGAAAGGAACACAAAATGATGAAGTATGTACATGTGTGTATGTGTATCGTGAGTTATCGATGAACGATGTGTGCGTGTTTACGTATGTAAGAGACGATCGAGCGATGATACAGAACGAAATACAATGAAATGAAGTAAACTCGCAGAGAGAGAAAAGTGTATTACCTTCTGCCAGGGATGTGACTTAATCTGTGGAAATTTGAATTCGGTATAGTTGGGGTTCATCTCACGTATCTGATCGCGTGTAGGCGTACCGAGGACTTTGATAATCTCGACGAGCTGGTCTACGCCACTGTCACCAGGGAATATCGGCTGGCCAAGAAGCAATTCCGCCAGCACGCAACCTGCGCTCCATACATCTGTCGAGAGGACGAGAGAAATGTTATTTTCTTTCGGACAGAGAGGAAAGAAGTGTTTTGTGGGGCTTACCGATCTTCGTAGTGTAGTCGATAGCACCAAAGATGAGCTCAGGCGCGCGGTAGTAGCGACTGCAGATGTAAGACACGTTGGGTTCACCCTTGACCAGGTGTTTGGCCGAGCCGAAGTCGCACAGCTTCAGCACACCCGTGTCCGGGTCCAGGAGCAAGTTCTGCGGCTTGATGTCCCTGTGGCAAATACCCAGCGAGTGGATATACGCCAGCGAACGAAACAGTTGATACATGTACAGCTGCAAAGAGAAAAGGACAACGTTTACTTGGAGAGAATTTTGTGAATGTGCACATCTTCCCCTCCCTTCCCTCTTTCATCGTTTATATATTCGTAGTATATTGTACCATAGCTATAATGTCCTTAGAAGAAATGTCCCAAAGCGATAATAAAATCATCTATCTATTCCTGTCTTTCGGCATTCCTCGAAGAGACTTCTCGCGAAGAGAGACTCACCTTGATGAAACTGATTGGTATCGTCTGCTTGCTTTTGCTATAGTGTCGGGCGACTTTGTACACAGTTTCGGGTATGTATTCCAGGACTAGATTGAGATAAACCTCGTCCTTCTAAAAGAAAAGGAAGAAAGTGAGAACGGGGATTCTCCGTCGAGAGGTCGGAGAACGGGAGTTTTTTAAGGTCTACGAGAGTATGTCGTCTTTCTCTCTCTCTCTCTCTCTCAAAGGCATACTACTCCAAAACCAAACATCGACACGACGCGTTCGTTACGTGTACAATTGTCAGAAGTACATATACGTGGTGTCCCGCGACTCGCGAATCGAAATTTTGGCAATGATTCCCGCCAATCGATCTAACACAGAGAGCTTGCAAGCTCGACTTTGCAAGATTTTCAACGTTATTCATCTCGAGTCACAAAACACCCGTTGAAGAATTAACATCTACTTGCGAAGCAAACGAAAAATAACCATCTTCAAGAATCTTAATTTCGCGATCAAAAGTCTATTTTTGTAAGCGACGGTTTCTCGAGATTTTCGTGGAGGGGAAAACTCGATCTAAACTTCGTCGTCGAAAAGTTCCCGATTAAAGTTGGTCCGTGCGACAGTTGGGGACATCTCGTGGAACGCGTCGTTTAGCGTGTCGCTTCGTCGTTACAGCCTTTCTTGGCCGCGTGCACACACGCACACAAAACGATACGTAGGTATGTAGCCTGGTGTTATTAACATTTAATTAACGCACACGCTCGGGAATGTTATCCGACTAGAAAACTAATGGCAATAAAAGACGAAACTAGCGAGAAGCAGCGTTAACTAAATCGGAGAACTTGGTGAGAGATCGCGGGATGTGGCGATATGTTGATCGTGAGGTGTCGTTGGCGGGGAATAATTATTACGATGCGATTATTTATATGCGCCGGTGATCTCTTCCTTTTTCACGCACGCGCGCGCGCGCGCGTGTGCGTGGAGGAAGCGGACGGATGAGCGAGCGAACTTTGCCTAAACTCGCGGCCAGAGAGAATTCTCTCTCAAGGGGGCTCTCTCTCTCTCTCTCTCTCTCTCTCTCTCTCTCTCTCTCTCTCTCTCTCTCTCTCTCTCTCTGTCTTTTTTTCTCGCAAAGCTACTTGGTGGGTTTGCGCTTTTGTTCAACTTACGTCCACGTGAAAAACTGGATTAGTCGCGTTTAAGATGTTCTACAAAAAATAACACAACAACAGTGGCATGCATTAAAAAGAAAGACAAAGTGGGCAAACTGCGGTGTGTTTCACTCGCGGGCGCACGCGGGAGTTCGTTACACAACGAAGTAATTACGAATAACTGCAATAGCGATAATTGCGCGATAGATATACGAACGTGCGCGAAGCGGCGTGAGCTCCACCGCATCAGCACCGGTTATACTTAAAATCGAGTTCCCGTTTCCTCGCGAGATTCTCGCGGTCTGAACGCTCGAATACACAATGGACGGACGCGATCGGATCGAGAAAAGAGGTATCTCATAGGGAGGAGAGAGGCTTAGAAACGAGATAGTTACCTTATCACCACTAGAGTAAAAGAAATATTTGAGTTTCACGATGTTGCAATGCTCGAGTCGACGCATGATTTGTAATTCCCTGTTCTGGAAAAAGAGAAGTGCAAGGGCCACGATTAGAGAGATCGTTCGATAAATAATGTGGCGATCCTCGTGGACAGTCACATTTGTTATACGACGCGATCTATCGAACTGATACAAAAGATTTATCGTACTTTGCAAAATCGAAAATAAAACTGTCGGAGGTACGAATGGAATAATTGATATTGACTCGATATTTTTTCCAAACATCAGACGAGTTCTCCCGGTTTTATTTTCAATATTCAACTCGGTAATTTCCTGCGAGTCAGAATTAAACGGACGAACGGCAAATTTCTCTTTTGTATCAAACTATTAACATTGTCCCAACGGTTGTTGCGCAATAAAAAGAAAAATAATAAAATGCAATTTTTCAGATACGAAGGATCCATAAAAATTGTTCGGACGATTTGAAATAACGAGGAAGAATCGAAAGAATTACCCGGATACTTGGATTGAAAAATCGCACAGAAGAAAAGTGATTCTCTATAGAATAAAAATTCCGAAATGAAAATTCCATCGTTTCGTGCCTTTGCTTTGTATTGTTTATCGCGAATCGATGGCTGACTCTGTCGAACGGAAGAAAGATGACAAAGATGACAAAGAGACTCTCACCTTAAATCGTTTGTCCTGAAGAACCTTCTTGATGGCAACCATCTCGCCTGAGTCGCAGAGTTTAGCTTGGTACACTACGCCGAAGCTGCCATTGCCGATTACTTTAGTATCTGTGTAGGCGACCTCTTGGGGGCGGTCCGGTCCGGCGCCGGGGGTTGCCACGACGGTCGTCACCTTGCTGCCATCCTTGCCTGCATTGTACATCGCACCACCCATAGAAACAATCGGAAAATACCGAAACGCTACAGTACAGCGAAAGTAAAGGAAACGGAAAGTCGAGCTGTCCTCGAAAGATCTAGGAAGAACTTCTTAAAAGCCGCAAAGATAGCCGGAAAGTTGGAAAAAATCGCGAGAGAACACAGATAAAAGGAAAACTCGTGAACATCATGCGATCGAAGAGATTTCGCTGAGATAGTTGCAAAGCGCAAGGTCGATTGTCATGCGATCGCGGTGAATCGCGAGCAGCCGCATTCAAAGTGGCCGAAAATCATTTTTTTCCATCCAAGAGCTTATCCCCAGATCGTCCGGAGAGTTTCGGGACGCTCTGGAGAGGTAAGCTCTCTCCAATCAATTTTCACATTCACATCCTTGGTATTAATTTTTATCTCTTAATTAATATCTAACATCTGATATCGTTCCTTATCTGAGCAGGAAAATGTTGCCTTCGACAATTCAATCCGACGGAGTCGGAGCTAATTGGGTTAAGGTGGCGAAAAATTACTTCTTTCTTTTATCAAACGAGTATATCTCTAAATCGTTCTGAATCGTGGAATAAGCTATGGAGAGATAAGCTGTTCTCGATTAGTTTCCCTATCCATGATTCGCGTGTAAAGTTTAGCTCTCTCAATTGAGACACCCGATACCCGATAATGCCGATAATGCTGCTGTTAGCGAGAAAGATATAATTTGGCAATTTCGTCCGACAAAGTTTATTATCGGCAGGCGATTACAATTTACCGCGCAGGGGCGAAACGTCATAAAATAATTTTATCATAAAATAACGACGGGGAAAAAGCTTCGCGTAATAATCGCTCGCTCCGTCAAATCGGAAGATTTCGCGATTCCGAAAAGCTGTTACACAAATTATTCGGATCTACGGCCGCTGCTATTTTCACGTAGTTCTCGGACACGGGCCTACATACGGCGACCAGGAATAGCCTAATCCTTGATTTGTTTTTGTTACCGACGGCTTCACGCTGCGCACGAAAACACGACTCGCGAGCTTCCCCACCGACCGTTTTCAACATGCCACGGAGAAAGCGCCGAAATGCATGCACACTCGCGGCGACCTTAATTCTCATGATCGATTTCACGGTCGATTTCCTCGACGAACGAGCGAATGATCGATCGATCGATCAATCGATCCTATGAATCGGAAACGAGAGAGCCACGAGGTCGACTCTCTAGAAATCGAGTCTCGGGAGTGACGCGAAATTGGAATTTCACGAATGAGACCGGCAGCATGACAAAGGTGCCTGAAATAAATTTCGCGGAAAGAATCGCGTCGCGTCAGGATTCTCGGATTTTTTTCTGTAAAAAGCGGGAGGAAACGAGTGCGAGGCGTTTATGCGGAATGTATATATATATACCGGGTGATCGAGACCGGCCGCTCGGAAGCGCGTTCTACGTCGGTTAAATGCGTAGCCTTGATGAATTCTGATGAACGAGCTGGTATCATAAAATACCAATCGACTAACCGGTTTTTCCGCGAGAGAGTTTGCACCGTCGATGCGTGTAAACCCTCCTCCTCCTCTCTCTCTCTCTCTCTCTCTCTCTCTCTCTCTCTCTCTCTCTCTCTCTCTCTCTCTCTCTCTCTCTCTCTCTCGAAATTGCGCAACACGCGCGACTATCGGCCGACCGAGCCCACGAGGGCCCGGCGATTATTTGTATTCTCAGTTGTCAATAGTGTTGTCCACCTGCGTCACGTCCACGTACATGTGTTAGTCTTCTGCCTGTCAAACGTCACACGGTCATCTCTTATGCTAAAAATAGAAACGCGCGACACGAGTGCGCGCGCTGGTTATTTTCATACAGCGCATCCGATATATCTGGAGTGATCATAGGCCGGTTGATTCATAGTCGAGATTCGTATCCGCTAAAATAACTTGGATACATGTCGCTGCGACGCATGACAGTGTGCGTGTGTGTGTGTGTGTGTGTGTGTGTGTGTGTGTGTGTGTGCGCGTGCGTGCATGTACAAAATTAAATATACGTTAACACAGTGTCTAATGGCACTAGGTTCACGCGCACGCACGATACGGAATCGAAATGATCTCTCAAGAGAAGCCAATGACAGCTGAACGAGGGAAAGACGCGCGATTGATAGTAGCGTGTACGCTGCCAATAAGTGAGAGAGAGAGAGAGAGAGAGAGAGAGAAAAATCGCATCGCGTTAATCACAGCTTAGGTAAACATAGTTAATTAAATTATATAGATATATTTGAGTTAAACACGCGCGATCTAACATATATATGATTACAAATCAACATGTAATATCAAATATATGAAATGGCGAAAGAGAGACGACGAGGAAGATTTACTCGAAAGCGAGAGAAAGAGATCGGCAGAGTTGGCAAGCTAATTTCATTTCGCTTTTAATTTAATTTTTTTTCTTTTTTGGAATGGAATGGAGGTTAATAGCACGCGAAAATGTCCGGTAAAATGTCCGGACGAGATGATTCGAGAAGCGCTCGAGTCGATGACGCGGTCGAGAGGCGGATCTCCCGAGAGCGCGAGGATGGATCACCTGTTTTGTCGTCCGCGACGGGCGAGTGCGAGGATTTCGGGCCGCGAATGCAGCGAACGACCTGTCGCCACGTGCACGACGCCTTGTCTTCTGACATGTTCGGGGCATTTCCACGTTTTTCCGAATCGAGAACATGTGGAATCCGCGTCGCACTTCGCGGGATCAGTGCCGACCGACGACTGACTGACTGCTTTTTGTTTCAAGGTGGCTCGCTCGGAGCTAATTTTTTCGTGGAAAGAAAACATTGATTTTTCGATTCTTTACCAGCAAGATTTATCTATGTCACCGAGATTCAGATGATAATTTTGTTCTAGGGAAACTTAATCAAAATCAATTTAGGAAAAGAAAAAAAATATTTATTTAAAAGAAGCATCTCCTTTGGATTACATAAGTAAAATTACAGTAGTGTAGAAAAGAACGGTGTAGATAAGTATGACTACACAAATAAATATGAGTAGTAAATATAAAATAATTACAAAAATAAATACATATATATATAGCATACATACACTTAAAAAAAATTTAATAACAGCTAATGATAGAAGAATGATGATATTTTATATTTACCGAAGTGGTACTAACTACCAAGGTTTTTAGATGTACAATCCACAAGTACAAGCCACTTCTGTTTGAAAATCAACTCAAGAATATCGTTTTGCCGTTTGTATTCACACAAAGCTTGGGAGAGGAGGGAAGGCGGGGGAAAGTCCTCTTGGTCTCGAACCTTGGGGACTAACTGCAATCGAGACATCTTCGCAAAAGAACGAGTCTACTCGAGATCGAGCGGAAATCGGCCGGCTGGGCTTTGAAGGAGAAAAACACGCTCTACATATGCGTGTTTTTAAATAAATAAATCCCCTCCTCCATCCTCCAATAGCAAGTCCCGGGGGTGAGCGGGCGTAGCGTAGCGTATCGTAGCGCAACCATGAGAGAAGTGGGTCAAGCGTTTTCTTTTATCGCGATTAGAAGATCCAGCCGGCTAAATCCAGAACCATATTGGCGCGACGTGCGCGCAAAAAACGCAACGAAGTGTTGATGGATGCAGCAGCAGCAGCAGCAGCAGCAGCATCATCATCATCAGCGTCAACATCATCGTCTGTTCGCATCGGGAAAGAGAGAGAGAGAGAGAGAGAGGCCAACGAGCAGTCGGTGTAGCGAGAAAGAGAGGCCCCTTTCATCGTGTTAACGCGCATCAGGGGAGACTGCGACCTTTCGCCGTTTGCCTGAGCAACCCCTGCCTACGAAGCAAGAGAGTATCCTCAGAGTAAAGCCTCGGCCTCTCGTCGGTGGCATTTCGCGTGGCTTAAAGAGATTGACGCTACATCGAGAAGCTTCTCTCTCTCTCTCTCTCTCTCTCTCTCTCTCTCTCTCTCTCTCTCTCTCTTTCCCTCTCCCTCCCTCTCTCTCGTCGTCCCCCCGTGGGTGTCCACGCTAATCGCGCTCGGTTTAACGAGACGGTCGGATGAAAAAGGGGATTAATCGAGCCCGAGGAAAGGGCGGAACAAGTTTTCCCGGTCCTCTCTTGCCCTGCCAGCCCAGAAGCCTTTTCGCGATTAGATTGCGCACCGGCTGTTTCTCGGCTCGTCGCCGCGATCTCATTCCAATTTTATTTGCCAAGCGATTTGTAGCGCGCGCCGCGTTATCGCGATGCGATAAGCGGAAAATCTCCATAATAGAAGCAAAGGTCGTTTATTTTTCTTGCGTTTTTTTTTCGCGTTGGTATAAACACGTGTAGAGGAGCGAGGTTCGTTAAATGAAACGTTCGTAGTTTCCCTTGTTAATTTCCGCGATAAGCTATTAATGACTCGTCTGTCTTTTAATGTCTCGAAGAGACATCGTGTATTTATACATGTATAAATTATCATTGCGATACTGAGAGATGAGATTCAGGAATGGGATCACTGAGCGTGTCGAAGGATCCGAAAGAAGGATTCGTCGAGGATTCTGCGACGAGTCGCACTCGTCACGAGAACGAGATTCGTTCAGTTTGCGTTTCTGCCTCCCTGTTGTCGCGTTCACACCGCTTTGCAATGTTGGGGGGTGATAGATACCCATCGATTGATCTTCCACCCTCCGCGCTTCTTCGCCTTCTCGTCCTCTCTCTAACTCTTCTCTATATTTCTGCCTCGTCTCGATAAATGGAAAAATAGCGACGGGCGACCGTAGGTGCGACCGGACGTAAATACGGTCACGGAGGAAGAGGAGGAGGAGGAGGAGATGTAAATGTCAGAGGATCATACGATCGTCTCCTGTCGATGCACAAAAGAGCATAGCCATCGACGACGTTATCAAATACGTCATCGTGGAGTGATTATCCGCTTCGAGGGAGATCACTCGCCATACATACATACACACACACACACACACACACATCGGCGAGAAATCGCCCTGGAAATCGGATGATGACGCTTCCTCGTCGACGTGACGCGCACCGATGAGCAGAGAGCGCGATCTTTTTTTCTTTCCT